GGTAACTTTTGCTCACATTTGCTAAACTAGCTTGATGAATTATTAAAAATGAACATTAAAGGGTGGTGGAGAGTTGTGATCTGCAATGTTAGAAGGCTGGAATTTTGTCAGTCAGCAGTGGTTGCCAAGTGGTCCATGCCCCTTTTCCCATCAGTTCAGAGAAATTGGACACTTGATCAGATACTCACACTGTCTCTGCAATGCTTAGCCATGGGCCTTCATTGGTACCTCTTTAATTTACTACTAATGTGCTGGGGTTCTGATAAAAATAATTAGTAGCAAATTACTGAAAGCTAGGTTTTTATTTTTTACACAGGGTTTCTCTGTGTATCATGGTGAACCTAGAACTCACTCCATAGGTAGACCAGGCTGGCCTCAAACTTAGAGATGTGCTGCCTTTGTCTCCCGAGTAGTGGGACCAAAGTGCTGAGTAACCACTGCCCAGCTCAAACCATGTCATTTAAAGAACAGATATTTATGTTTTTCTGAAATCACAGTTAGAGAATCCAAAATAAACTTTCAAACAATTATTTTTTCCAGCTACATTTTCCAGTATGTTCTAAGAGTCATTCATAAAGGATGATCACTCAGTGTCTTGAGCCCCTGACATCTCATAAGCCCAAAACATAGGTCACCAGGTCTTGAATGAGGCTCTGAAACTCCTGGTGTGGCTTTCCAGAGGACCACCAACTGCTACTTTGAGTATGCTTGATTCTACAGGGAAGTGCAGCTTGAGACAGAAGGATTCTCAAAAGAGTGAGCTCAGGACAGGGAGAAATTGCTGGTAGAGCCCACTCGCCTGATACAGATTTGATGAGATCACATGGCTGTAGCTTTACTGTTAGGAACCAAGTTCACCTTTAGCCCACCTTCAGTGACTGTGTGACACCAGCCACATCATCACCAGCCACCAAATAGGACATATTTCACTGTCACCACAAGTCACATACCCTTTATAAATGCTCAGGGCATCACTGCCTCCTCTCGGTCCCTCTCTTTCTCCAGCTCAGAGCTGGTGCTTTTTGAATGATGATTGTTTCATGGTGTGATCTCTGTGCATTCCTTCTCCAAGGTCTGACAAGGTACTCCTCAGCCACAAAATTCTAACAGTATGTCATCTGTCAGGGAAAGGGTTGTGAATTGTTGAATGAGTACCTGAGGCTTCTAAGAATACTTGTTTCACCATGGGGACCACTTTGAACAAACCCTCGCTGTTATGGAGCATCACTAGGACACACAGAATACCAGAAATGTCTCATGTCCCACATTCAATAAAACTCTCAAATTGCATTAACTCCTTAAAAATCACCACTTGGCATGGTCATGGTGTCACATGCCTGTAATCAAAGAACTTGGGAGGGGGAAACAGAGTGACCAGGAGTTCAAAACTACATGAGATCCTGTCTGACAACAAATATAACACACACACACACACACACACACACACACACACAAATAAATGAATGAATAAATAAATAAAACAACCATGGGGCATTCCAAATTTTACACCTAAAAATAAAGTAATTAAGATTTATTCACCTGTAATAGGTGGATTTTTACAAAATACATTAAGATTACATGTTTGCAATTTGTGTCCAGTATTCTCACTCAGAACAGAAAATGTTAAATATCAACAATGCTTGATTCAAATGTTGTATGTAGCATTGCTATAACCATGGAATCCAAGTATTTGGCTACCTACCTGTTATAGTGTGGCTATAAAGATGGTTTAAACTTAACATTGCAACCAGTAAATTTCAATGAAGTATGGTACCTTTCATAAGGTAGTTGGAGCCCACCACAGAATAGATATAGCTGGGATCCAGAGCCTGCAGTCTGAGCTTCTTGATCCAGAAGGCAGGAGACCAACCTGGAAGACACAGGGAGTCTCCAGCTCTGATACAGAGAGAGGAGAAATTGGAGGGAGAAAGGGAGCCAGAGACGAAAGGGGAGAGAAGGGCTAAGAAAAGAAAGAACAGGGTAAGGCAAAGAAGTTCAGAGGGTGGGGAAGAGTTTTACTTGTCACCTTCCCTCCCATGCTGAGCATTTACAACAACATTTCCAAAGAATTCCCAGTTGCTCTATCCTTGGACCTTCCCAGACATTTTAGGATTTCTGTAACTTTTTTTTCATTTAAATTTTTATTGATTCTTTGTGAATTTCACATCATGCATCCCAAGCACACTCATTGCTCCATCCCTCCATATCTTCCCTCCACTCTTGCAACCTTCCCATACCCCCAAAAAAGAAAACAGAAAAAAAAAAGAACAACAACAACAAAAAAAAGTCACCATGGAAGCTTCAGTGTGTCATGGTGTATCACACAGTATGTCCTCTTGTCCAAACAGCTTTACTTGCAAATGTTCATTGCAATGAGACATTGTTCCGGTTCTAGACCTCTGGCTTCTGCTTTACTATCAACACTGGATCCTCTCTGGAACATCTGTTATTGTCCTGAGTCATGGAGATCCTGAAGCAGTTCTGTAATCCACTCTTTGTGCACTCCAGCAGTTCATGGAAAGGGTAGATGTTGGGGTGGGCCAACTCAAGCTCTTGATCTGAGCTTTGATAGTAGCTGAGTTTGTCAGTCCACCCTGCTATCTTGTATCCATGCCACCAAGCAGCACTCTCCCTCTTTGCTCAGGCAAGGTTGGAGGCCAGCTCTCTTGCCAGTGGCAGCTAACACAGTGCTGGCTCTCCTGTGCTCATGTCATTGGGGCCAGCTTTGCCTCATCTACGCCACAAGGGCTGCCTCTTCATCACTGCCTCAGCAAGGTGAGGGGTGCTCTCCAGTGCTCACACCACCAGGGCCAGCCTCTACCACACTGCCTACATGATACAGAGCATATTATCCCAAGTCCCATCAAGAGGTGGGACCAGCTCTCCTACACACAGACCACCATGACCTCTGGATCAATCCCCAGAAGTGCAAAGACCAGACTAAAACAGTAACAGCAAAGCTCATGATTCCAGCACTGAGGAGGCTGAGGGAGGAGGAGCTCAGAGATTAGGCTGAGGTTCATTAGTAGACCATATCTCAAAAGAAGAAGAGAATATGAGGAAAAGAAAGTATGTTAAATAAAATTCAAATTGTAGTGACATATCTGTTTAACTGTCACATCTTGTCACTGTTTAGTAGCTCTGAGAATATAAGAAACAAATGAGTAGGTGTTGCTTTATTGAAGGAGGGGTGTCATTGGGAACAGGCTTTGAAGTTTCAATAGATGTGGCCATTACTGATGCCCTCCACCAACTACTTCATGTTTGTGTCTCTAGTTCTGACCTCTCACTTTCTGATTCAGCACTCTTTTAGTCAGGGTTCTTTAGAGCAGTGGTTCTCAACCTTCCTAATGCTGTGACCCTTTAATACAGGTCCTCATGTTGTGGTGACCCCAATCATAAAATTATTTTCATTGCTACTACATAACTGTAATTTTGCTGCTTTAAGAATCATGCTGTAAATATTTTGGAGTTAGAGGTTTCCCAAAGGGGCCATGAACCTTGGGTTGAGAACCACTGTTCTAAAGGAATGAAACATATAGATTGAATCTACATGACTGGAGAAGTTATTAGAATTGCTTACAGACCAACTAGCCCAACAATGGCTGCCTACCAATGGAAGGTCCAAAAATTCAGAACTTGTTCAGTCCATAGGCTGATGTCTCAACTGGTCTTCAGTATATGTCAGAAGCCTGAAGAAGTAGGTTCCATTGCCAGTGAAAGAATGGACTTGCTAGTGAAACAAGAAAAATCATGCAAAGAGTAAACAAGGTTCCTTAATCCAAGCTGTTTGTACAGGCTGCCAGCAGGAGGTGTGGTACAGATGAAAGATGGATCTTCCAACCTGGAAAGATCTAAATTAAAGGTGTATCTTCCTACCCCAAAGATCTCACTTAGAAATGGGTCTTACCACTTCAAATGATTTAATTCAGGAGAAAGTTCTCATAGGTGCCTAGTCATTTGGGTTTTAGTTAATTCCAGATGTACTCAAGTTGACAACAAAGAGTAGTCATCATAGACACTGTGCTTCCCTGGGTGCTGTCATGCTCCCCACTGTGGTGGTCATGACCTCTAACCCTTTGAAACTGTAAGCCCCAAATCAAACACTGTCCTTATAGGATGGCTCAGCCTTGATGCTTATCACAGTAATAAGAGTAACTAAGACAGACTACACACATGTGCCACCACCCCTGGATTTGTACATTGCTCAGAATCCACGATAGGGCTCTACAATGCTAGGCAGGAAGTGTGCCAGCTGAACCACACTCTGAAATCTACACTTCTAATTCAGGGGATGCTCAAGCAATATCAGAAGTCTTCAATAGAAAGCCTAACTCAAATAGGGACTCCTGAGACATTCCAGTGAGGGATTCCTGGAAGGGATGCAATGAGTGTGTCACATCAGCAGTGTGAAGAGACTTGGTTTGTTCAGCAACAGAAGATATAATCTGTGGGACAGCACTGGGCAGCTGGAGAGCCCTCTGCACTTGCTAGTCTCACTGCTGTGAGTGTGGGGAAGTGCTTTTGCAAGACTCTGCAGGGGAATCCTCCCCATCCTGTCCCTGTTGGGTGGGAAATCTTGATTGTGTGTCAGCTGCCTTGAATGCAGCTTCCTTTCTGTCCTCATCCTGTAAGTGCCCAAGTCCATCTCCAGAGGAACACTGCAGGTCTCTTTCCCTCACCTTGTTTTTCCTTCCCTTTGGGCCATACCTACCACCCAAAGCAAAACCCAGCCAATAGCTCAGGTGCAAGAGGAGCCCATGGAGAAGACTTTCTTTGCATCAGGGGCAGCTTTCCAGAGAGTCAGTATCGTTTTAGGTGATTGTGACATGAGCCTGAACAACTGACAAGCTCCTGTAGGAAAGAAAAATGTCCCAAGCTCCTCTGCAAGGCAGAGCTGACTCAAGACTACTGACTTCCTCTGAGGGTAGAACCCTAGAAACTGATGACACCCCATTGGCTGATTCTTTAGTTTCTCTTTCTCAGTTCACCCCTCAAAGTCTTAACTTTCACTTCTCTCCTGGCTCACCAGTGAGGAAATCCTCACGATACTTACTGTGGCCTCCAGTCTCTCCTCTCAACACAGTCGGGGTCTCTTGATTGTCATGTGAAGATGTGAGACCAATTTTAGAGGGCAGAGTTTGGAGGAATTTCAAAGAAAACATTCTTCCTTCTGGTGAGTTAAATTTGAAACTGAGAAGGGGCAGAAAAGAGGGACGGCTGGCTTCCTGCTGGGTGCTCTAGGGATGAGGTATCAGACAGAGAAGGTGGCTCTGAGAAAAGACACAGGTTTCAAGGTCCTGAGAGGTCCAGTTATTTCTCCAGATGGAATCCATTCTTTTCTTTCTTAATGTTTAATTTTGGCCTGCACCAAAAATCCCCTGGTTCAATAGAAACACTGAAGTTCCCCTCATTGAAGGAGTAAAGCCTGAATGGTATTTGAAAACAGAAAATCACATCTCTGTATGATGGTGATTTACCCATGATTCTATGGATTCGTTCCCTTTGATTCTGTCTCTGTGATTAGAAATCCCAATCTTTCTACACCAATACTTTGAAGTTTCATCATCCTGAAAGAAGCAGTTTCACCTACGACTTGATATGCCATGGCCAGTTGATAACCATAGGAGCCTTTTTTCTGAAGAGAACTAGAGGAGAAGCTGATGTAGGTGGGAGGGGAGAGGTTGAGGTAGGACTTGGAGTAGGGAGGGAGGGGAAATTGTAGTGAGGATGCAAAAACAAACAAAAAACAAAAAATAAATGAATGAATAAATACGAAAACAAGAGTTTTACTTGTTACAAACTTCAAAATAACCAAGTAAAGACCAGAGAAAAAACAGAAATTGTAATTAAATGAGTTTATTAATTACTGCTAGTAGTCCAACAACAGTCGTAAAAAGAAGTCAAAGGCTTGTCACACAGAAGAGGCTGTAGGAAGGGTTTTTTAGGTGGGTAGCACAATTGTCTCTTTTGTGTGCAATGTGTATTTGAGTGAAAAACTGCCTATACTCCTCTCAGCCGTGAGGAGCTCTCTTACTCCCTGCTATACAGCAGTAAGAAGGCTCACAAAATACAGAGGAAGCAATTAATTATCTCATAGCACTTTTACAATTTGGACAATGGCAGCAAAGAGTGAGAGTTGCCAGGAACTTCTCTTTTGGGGATTTAGAATGGGTGTCTAATACAAAATGGAGTTTTCCTTAGCCATCACATATATAATCACAAAAGAAGCAAGCTGTCTGTAGCCACATTGTTTGAAACCAACAAACCTAGTTATCGTTCCTTGGTGTCTCTTTTAAAAAAGATTTATTTGCTAGAATGGGGGAGCATTTGAAGGATAATATAGCAACCTAGTGTGACTGAAAACTTTCTAAAATATATTAAAGCAATCCTAATGAGATCTCTTACTAATGGGGATATGGAGTCTCATTAGACAAACTCTTGTCACCAAACAAGGCTTCCAGTGGCAGGACTTGGTCACATTCAATTGAGTTGTTGGCCAGGGGAATCACATGGAAATCCCCAAACAACTCAGGCTGTTGATAAGACAAAGGGTTTCCCTCTAGAAACAGACAGTAGAATCTCATTGCATAGGACAACAGCCACAGAATTCATTGACCATGAAGAAGTTAAGCTGGTACCTAGATGGAGCCTTCATCCCTACATTCTAGTCTCTTTGGTGCAGGAAGTTTCTCTGCAGGCTGCTAAAAGAAAAGGAAATACCAACCAAGTCACAAAGCCTTGCTCTACAGTCTGACCTGCGTGCACACCTGCGTGCACATGCTAGGGCAATGGTGACACAGAATTTGTGGCAGTAGCCAACCAATATCAGATTTGATTTAAGGCCCACTAGGAAAGGAACCCATACCTGACATTGCATGGTTGACCGAGAGCCAGAGACTCGGTATCCCAGAGGCCAAGGGTAAAAATCAAACACAAGTGGCCTAAAAAGATAAAAAAAAAAAAAAAAAAAAAAAAAAAAAAAAAAGGGGCCAAAAAAAAAAAAAACCGGGGCGTTGGGGGCCCATGCCTTTAATCCCTGCACTCCAGAGGCAGAGGCAGGCGGATCTCTGTGAGTTCGAGGCCAGCCTGGTCTCCAGAGCGAGTGCCAGGATAGACTCCAAAGCTACACAGAGAAACCCTGTCTTGAAAAACAAAAACAAAAACAAAAAAAAAAAAGAAAAAAAAAGCAAGCAGAGTTTCATTTTGTTTTGAGTTGTGCAATTGTAAGTCCCCCTCCGTGTATGCATATATGAAAGGATGGCTGCAATGGTCACAGCTGGTAGATTTCCTAAAACTGGAGTCACAGACACCAGTGAGCTGCTTCATGTGGGTACCAGGAACTGAACTAATATCTTCTGCAAGAAGCAATAAGCACTCTTAAGAGAAACCATTGCCTATGTGTAACAGGATGTGGGACTGTGTGCACTCCAGGCTTTCTGCTAAGAAACTGTAAGGAGAGGATCAAAGAGAGTCACACCGACTGGTGTTGATGAAGGAGGAAGCACAGCAGTGGAGGCATGAGTTATTTGATGCTTTAAACACTGAACATGTGATGTAGTCCTGAGAAAAAAGGGAAGGGTAGAAGGTAGAAGAAACACTTCCTTTCTGCATTTCAGTAAAAGGAAATAAGAATCCTTCATCTAAAATTTGTCATTTGGGATGAAATATAGTAGAGGACTTGAAAGTATGACGAAACACTCCCTTTGCCATGTCCCTTTCAGTATTTCTCTCCTTTATTCTTTTCCCTTATCAGGGAGATCCTCCCTTGATTTCTGCACAGAATTCCTGCTGATTTTCCCATCATTTCAGTACCACTTTGTATCATCCCCAATAACACAAGTACCTGAACAGAAATTTCAGTAGTCAGGACAGACAGACCCAGGGTCACAGCAACAATGGCCTCATCAGTCCTTGTGAAGATCAAGGAGGAGGTGACCTGTCCTATCTGCCTGGAGCTCCTGAGGGAACCTGTGAGTACAGATTGTGACCACAGCTTCTGCCGAGCCTGCATCACACTGAACTACCAGTCCAGCAAAGGCAAAGAAGAGGAGGGCATCTGCCCTGTGTGCCAAGTTACTTACCTGTTTGGGAATCTGAGACCTAATCGACAAGTGGCTAACATAGTGGAGAGAATAACAGAGTTCAAGTCCAGCCCAGAGGAGGAGCAGAAGGTCAATGTCTGTGCACAACATGGAGAGAAACTCCAGCTCTTCTGTGAGAAGGACATGGTGACCATCTGCTGGCTTTGTCAGAGATCTCAGGATCACCGTGGTCACCAAACAGCTCTCATTGAAGAGGTGTCCCATAAGTACAAGGTAAGAAGTGGGAGGGTGTGGGACACAGAGCAGGAGACAATAACAGTTGGAAAATCTCCAGTTGGTGTGACAGGACAATTAGTGGGACATCATGGACTCGAGGCTTTATATATCATTCCATCCTTTCTTACCTTTAGAGCTCTAAAAAGAAGTGATGATTTATTCCACTTAATTGTATGAGAATCAGCCTGGACTAGGACAGAACCCCTAGGACAGAAAAAATTATTGAGGAACTGTCCTTGTGAAGTTGAGTCAATGACAAAGAAAAGTCAAGAGCAGAACTGCTAATTTATTCTATATTTATATTCTTTTAATGTTTATATCAGATTTATTCATACTCCCTGAAATCTAGTCAAGTGACCATAAACAAAGGAGATAGTAAATGAATGAACAGCAATGAAGAGAATGTGCATGAGGCCAGTGTGGTGTGGCACGGCTCAAACTCACAACTCTGGCAGCTAGTGTGGTTGAAAGTATCTGGGTCTACACATGATTTCCAGGCTACCCAGGACTACTACATAGTAAGACATAGTTTCAAAAAAAAAAAAAAAAACAATGTGGAGGTGGCATGTGATTTATGCCTGTACTTGAATGAATGATCAGAAAAGATAACAAAATTATCACACTTCTCTGATGCCAGAATGAAAGGAACAGGTTTGTATTAGGTGGGGTGATTGACTAAGAAAGATTTCTGTTTCTGTCTTTATGAGGGTTGTGTATAGATAAATACAAGAACTGATTGAGGTGGAAACTGAAGATTTACATACTTTATGTGCATAAATCCAGGCACAAGTTTTTTAAAAACAGAACAGTCTTAGACTTCCTGTCTTTCCACAAAAGTTTCTTGGCCTTTGGATAGGAGCAGCAGTCCTACTAAGCACACAGTTTGATTCTGCTGCAATTCCTCTCCCACAGGAGAAGCTGCAAATAGCTCTGCAATTACAGATGGCAAATGAGAAAAGCTGTGATGAACGGAAAAAGTATCTTCAAAAGGAGAGAAATTACTGGGAGGCAAGTGGGGACCCTTCCTAAGGACCTGATGCCTGGGAGGGATCTGGGCAAGAAGCTCCCTGGCTCTTCATTCCCTGGTAATTGATGAGGTCAGGGGGCCTTGATTAGTCCTCTCTACCTGTTCCCTTTTTGGAGCTGGGACTGCACAGTGAGTGCATCACAACTGAGCCTGGCTATGTGAGGAGCTGACAACAGGGAGGAACCTGGTGAGAATGGGCACTGAGTCCTGGGTCTCACTCCTGTGGTATATTCTAGAATTATAAATGTTGGGAAGATGCTTGGGAACAGTCACAGATCTATTGTTGGGGTTAGCTTATCTGAGGGTTCAGAGGTAGCATGAGGAGTATTGCAGGCAGGAATAGAGTCTGGGACAGCTGTGTGAACACCGAAAGACACCCAGGCATTCCACTTTGGCTCAGGTGGCCTTGGAAAAGGTGACTTAAGATCTTTGTTTTCGAATGTCATGAACAGACACTGAAAGGAGATGCATGCTTCCCTAAGACTCCTTCCCTTCCCAAGCCCAGTTCCCTGAGAGAAGTCCCCATCACAACAGTGTTTTTATGTCCCCCCAGTCCCATCAGGACTGTCTGAATTCCTCTCCCCTTTCTTATCCCTCAAGAACCAAATACAGAGTGATGTAGAAAATGTTCAGATGGAGTTTAAAGGACTTCGGGAATTCTTGGACTCCAAAAAGAAGAGTGAGCTGCAGAAGCTGATGAAAGAGAAGGAAGACGTTATGAACAGCCTGGCAGAGTCTCAAAATGAGCTGGAGAAGCAGAGAGAGGCAGTGAGAGACCTCATCTCAGATATGGAGCATCAGTTGGACTGCTCAACCTTGGAAATGCTGCAGGTAAGACTGCAGGAGGTCCCAGCATCTGAAAGTTAGGAGACCTAGAAGGCCTTTCCCTCCCTCTGTGCTGCTGTGATCTTCCTGATGAGGACAGTAGGACTGTCTGTGCCCTCCCTGAACTCTTTCCTCAGCCAGTTTCAGAGGCTGTGGAATCGTTGCAGGCATGGATAGCAAGGGGAAACTGCATTTTTTAGCTTGTTAAGTACAGTACAGAAGCTGAACCATGTGCAGAAGATCTGTTGCCTCATGGGTAAGTACTCACCTGCTGTAATGCTGAGCATATGTAAAGCACGTTTTTAACTGTCATTAGTCACATCACCTCAGTTTTAACTTAGTAGAAATTCTTTTTCCCTTTGGATATTTGGAGTCTTTCACCCCCACTGCATCTGATTCCAGTTGTGTGGTAGTAAGAGAGGAGTTACTTTCCAAGATCTCAGAAAGTTTTCTCTGCCTCTGTCTTTGAGTTTCTGAGGTGAAAGGTGTCTTCTTTACCTTTTACAGGTGTACAGTTTATATTTTATTTTATCTATATCACATTTTTAAAATATTTAAACCAAAGTCATATTCTGGTGGTGAATATTCTGTAGGCATTTGTTTCTTTTATATCAATTGTCAATGTTATAGACCATGATGGTTCTAGGAATTTTTCATACTGCATTAATTTATTGGTTTTCATTGTGTTGATTTAAATATTACTGAGAACACTAATTCATCATGTGTATTGGATGGAATTATAGATACAAACTAACCTAAGCTAGTTCATGTAGATACTAACTACAGCCACCATACTCTAGGAGCCTGAAATTGTATCAATTGACCAAAGAATCTGCCCACCTTTCTCTGCCTCCAGCCCACATTCTAATCTTTACTTTCATGAGATCAATTTTTTACATGACACATATTTAAATAGTAACCCTTAGGGTTTTTTTTTTTTCTGTGCCCAGCTGGTTTAGTGTTTTATAAATTCTCTGAGTGCAGCCAATTTGCCACAAATGGCAGTAATTTTGATTTGAATATCTAATATTTTAACATATATATTTATCATTTCATTTTTATCCATTCCTCTGTTGATTAGTTCTCTGGTGGTCTCTATTTTATCTGGTATGATAATGACTTGGTGGACATAATCATACAGATGTCTCTAGGAGGACAAGTTTGAGCATCAGAATTCACCTATAACTTGAATGATTAGTTCTCCCCAGAATTCTTTTTCCTTTGGGATCTACTGTTGTTTATTTGTGTTATATAAAATAAAGCCATGTGTAGCCAAGTATCTATGACCTCTGATCCCAGGACTTGAGAGCCTTTCATACACAGAAACAAAAAATATGAGATGCACATAACAATGTAAATGTTATATAAGCTTCCCAACTTACAGCCAGGTATAGTTCACTCCTTAAATTCCAGCAGTTGGAATGCAGAAGTAAGTGAATCTACATTGGTTCAAAGCTAGCCTTGTCTGTATACTGATTTCCACGCCAGCAGGGTTACATAGTGAAGCCACCAACTGGCCAAGGTGGAGAGTGTAAGAGACTACAGAGTGTCCAGGTTTAAATGGAATTTATCTATACCACCTCTAATCTAAAGGCCCAGGGATCATTGCAGAAGAAGGAACAGGAGGAGTGTAAGAGCCAGGTGATGAAGGTCTACAAGGACAACAGTGTCTTCTGGACACAGCTTAGCATGAACTAAGATTAGTTGTGACACCAAACCCAAGAACTGTGAAAGCCTAAACCACACCAAATTCCACCATGGAAAGTGGACTTTCTTAGGAAGTACAGCCACACCCGAGGAGCTCCTGGTAATTATTAGCTGTTAGGAGAAATGTTACATTTCTTTTTCTTTTTCTTTTTTCTTTAGAAACAAAATTGTTTTACATGTCAATCCCAGTTCCCACTCCCTCCCCTCCTTCCCTAGCACCCCCTCCCAACTAATATGGTACCTATCACATATCCTGTCTGCTCCCCAGGGGAGGATGAGGCCTTCCATCAGAGTCTATCATATCCTTTGGGATAGGGCCTAGGCCCACCCCCAGGTGTCTTGGCTCAGGGAGTACCCTGTATGTGGATTGGGCTCCCAAAGTCCACACCTATGCTAGGGATAAGTACTGAACTACTACAGAAGGTCCTGTAGATTTCCGAGGTTTCCTCACTGAAACCTGGAGTCTGGATCAGGCCAATGTTGATATCTCAGCTATGAGCCTGGGGACCAAGAGCTCCCTGTGGAGTCTGGATTAGGCCAATGTTGATATCTCAGCTATGAGCCTGGGGACCAAGAGCTCCCTGTTGTTCAGGTCAGCTATTTCTGTGGGTTTCATCAGCCTGGTCTGGACCCCTTTGCTCTTCACTCATCCTTCTCTGCAAATGGATTCCAATTCAGTTCAGTGATTAGTTGTGGGTGTCTGCTTCTACTTCCACCAGCTGCTGGAAGAAGGCTACAGGATGGCATGTAAGACAGTCATCAATCTTGTTATGAGGGGAGGGCATTTAAGGTAGCCTCTCCTCTGTTGCTTAGATTGTTAGTTGGTGTCATCTTTGTAGATCTCCAGGAAAGGTCACATTTCTTGAGAATGTTACTTTACTGAAATCTACCAATATCCTGTGGAATCCAAACATGAGAGAACATTTGCATAGTGTTAGGTCACAAACCCAGGACAAACAGCTAACTGAGGTGACCACTTAACAAATCAAAGTGGATCTGGTGGGTCAATCATATATCTATCCCATATAAAACAGCCAAGTTAATATTGGAAAGCAAAAAAGAATATTTACTAATGTGGCCACATTGTGGTGATGAGGGAAGAGATTTACAAAGCCCCTCTGTCCATCTCCAGTTTTCCTAAGAAGATCAAAGTTTATATAGAGATTGAAATATATGCACATATGAGTAGTCTAGGTCAAGGTGTGGTCCTGTCCATCATTCTCCCATCGTTGTCTGGGGTACAGACTTGTACTTTAAGGTGGTTTGGCAAGTAATTAAAACTGCTTGAAATCTTTTTAGGAGGCCATCTCTCCCTCAGCCTAGAGTTGTTTTCCATTTCCCAGTGTGAGATTCTTGGAGAAATTCCCACTTGAGATGAAGTCTTTGTTCCAACAATTTGCCAAATTAAGAGACACACATTTCTCTTTACGTTAACTCTTTTCCTGCAAATAACAGAAAGAGAAGAAAAAGAGAGAGATATGGTTAGTTGGTTTTAAGTATTAGGTAATCTAAGTGTTTGGTCCTTGTGGCTTCTTCATTACTGATTTATCAAATTGTGTCTATATATCTAAACTACTTTAGAAATCATCTTCTCACTAGGAGTGGCAGCACATGTTTTCAACCTTCCACTCAGAAAGCAGAGATAGGCAGTTCCCTGTGAGTTCCAAGTCAGCCTGGCCTACACAACAGGCTCCAAAGCTACACGAGAAACCCTGTCTCAAAAAACCACAAAGGAAAGAAAGAAGAGGGGCCAGAGGGAGGGAGAGAGAGAGAGAGAAATGAGCTCAGACATGTTAGTTCCAAGTAAGGTAATAAATAGCTAACATATAGCAAGTGAAAAGGCATGTGTTTATGTGTTTAGTAGTACACATAGCAAAACCTATGGAAGCTTTCAAACAACTGTTTATTCATCTTTGGTCTCCAAAGCCTTGTAGTATGAGACAGAACATAGTCTGTTAGTTTACATGTAAATTAAGTAAAGAGCCATGCATCATATTTATATCATCTTGGAGAACTGAGGGAGACTGGCTTGATTCTCTTTTGACTTTGTTTCTACGGCCAGTAAAGAGTGTTCCCAGTATGTGCAAGAACATGCAGAACATGTTATTAACTGTGTTTTCTCCCTCCTCCCTAGGGTGTGAATTCTGTCCTAACAAGGTATGTGTGGGCTGACAGAGAAGATTAGCCCTACTGTGTGGTGAGAATGATTTAGTGTCCAACTAGAATAAAAGCATCATGGGTTTGGGGTATTTAGACAAATGTTATTCTGAAGTTCCAGGGAGGAGGAGGAGGAAGTGGAGGAGGAGGAGGAAGAGGAGGAGCAGGAGGGGAAAGGCAGAGTCTGGCTCTTTTGTAACTCTTGAGAACAGATTTATTCTCCTTTAGGGGACTGGGTAATGGGGAGCCCCAGAGTTAGGCTCAGCAGTGGGATGAGGCACATGGAGCCACAGGTGCTTTCAGACTCCTTGTGGTTCCAGCATTCTCTCCACGCTGTGTGCTTGTGTCTGGCTCTGTCTGCAGTTAACAAGACTTGATTCATAGATTCATCCTAGCTAGGATGTGTTTTCCTTGTTTGCAATGTTCACAGAATTGCATATTGGGTCAATTCCTGGCATCTGTGTGTTTCTCCTGGGGATGGAAAAATCCAGAGTTCCTTTGTTGTTGCATTTAGCATTTTCACAAACAGACTTGAGTCTGTGGGCACAGCTGTTCCCTGTGAGCCATGTACTTCAGAAGACTGGAAAGCTGTGCCCTTGTATGTAAACAGTCACATCCAGGCTGTCAACATCAGGCTCATTCTGAACATGTTATCATTAATTTGGTGCTCCATCTTTGCCAAAATTGCCATCTTGAAAAAGAACTTGAAGATTCAGAAGCTGGAGAGAGTGACCATATTGACAAAAGTATTTGAAATCTTTGCTGACTCCAGATGGTTTTCTCACACTGCATGACTCTAATACTCAGGAGCAGCTTCTGCACCCAGATTTTATACTTCTCTTGAAAATACACATTCCTTCCTTCCTTCCTTCCTTCCTTCCTTCCTTCCTTCCTCCCTCCCTCCCTCCCTCCTTCCTCCCTCCTTCCTTTCTTCCTTTCTCCTTCCTTTCTTCCTTCCTTCCTTTCTACCCCCCCCCACACTTTATTTATCTGTCTATTTTGTTCAGAGAGTATTTGTGTGTGTAGCCTTGGCTGGCCTGGAACTCACTCTGTAGACAAGGCTCGCCTTGATCTCAGAGATCTACGTGCCTCTGCCTCTTGACTACAGGATGAAAGGCTTATGAATCCATTTCCAGCCCACACATTAATATTTTTCTGTCTTAGGTTACTTTTTTTAAAAAAATTGCTAATTCATCATTTTGTAAGTGTTCTAGGAGGGAAAGAAGGAGAGTGTGGAACAGGTTGTTAGACTGTTCTCCAGAGGTGATAACCTACCCTCTATTCCCTTCTCGGAATTCTCGGGAGAACTCCAGGATATCTATAGTTAGAATGATAGGGACTGATTGGGAGTCAACGGTGGTCAAAGGTCACACTGTCAATCTTTTGTCCCTAGGAGTCAGACCTTAAGAGTGAAACTACCCAAAATAATCCCAAGAAAACAGAGAAGCATCTTCCGAGCTCCAGATATGAAAGGCATGCTGCAAGTGTTTCAAGGTGACAATAGCTACATTCTGTAGTTAACTGGGGGATTCTAGCTGTGGCTGGGGCTACACTCTTTGGGAATAGAGTGATGTTTCTGCACATGGACAGAGGCACTCAGAAGATCAGATAGTGTGTCCCAGTGATGTCACCATATTTAATGGGAAATCATCATCCATCCTGTCCTATATCACTATTTACAATCCTTCCCCTAATCTGCAGAGGAGATTGACCTTATTTTTGATTCATTTGCTTGCATTTAATGCTGTGAATTTTCATCATTTCAGGTCTCATGGATGCCCAACGCTACTGGGGTAAGGAGAAATCACACCGCTATATGCCACTCTCTTCTCTTGTCTTTCAGAATTTGTTTCTCTATTAACCCTCATGTTTCATATTACTTCTCCAAATATACACAGCAGTCTGCATCTTCTTGCCTTTAAACACAGCCCCTCCAAGTTCCCTCTCACTTTCTGCTTAGGCTTCTTCTCCTTACATCACAAATAAGGCTAAACCTTGCCTCTCATGTGACTCTTAACTTCGATGTTTCATATTTCTGCAGTTCATGTGTTCCTGTGTCAAGTGCACAATAAAAACATTGTCATTACCGTGGACAAAAGACAAATACAACATCAAAATGATTATAGAAGAAATTTGCAAGTTTCTGAGACCTATGATTTAGGTGTCCTTGGATATCCAGCTATCCACTCAGGGAAGCATTACTGGGAAGTAGATGTGTCTAAAAGTGATGCCTGGATCCTGGGATTAAATGATGGAAGATGTGCTCAACCCAAACTTCATTCAATGAATAAAAAGGGCATCAAACAGAATTTTGAAGTTAAACAGCATACAAATTATCAACCTAAATTTGCTATTGGCTTTGGATGCAAATTATATTTTGATGATAAACAATTTGGTTATCTCCCTAAATATGAAGCTAATGATGATTCTGATGTTAAGCAGCATATAAATTATCAGCCTAAACATGGCTACTGGGTTATAGGGATGACAAATAGGTCTGTATATAATGCCTTTGTAGAGTGTTCTGTCACCCACAACGCCAGTGTCTTGATCCTCTCTCTGACTCATCCTCCCAGTCGTGTTGGAGTTTTCCTGGACAGAGAAGCTTGCACTCTCTCATTTTATGATGTCTCCAACCATGGAGCTCTCATCTATAAATTCTATGAACCATCCTTCCCTAATGCAGTTTATCCATATTTTAATCCTATGGAATCATCACAGCCAATGACAGTCTGTGGGCCACCATCCTAAACCCTCACCCAAGTCTGCACAGTGCCCTGATGTTTGATGGATCACATAAGCCAGTTACAAATAAACTAGCCTGTTTCCTCCAAGAAGCAAGCTGCCTAGTGGCAAACTTCCTAGCTGTTTTTTATTAATACATATTCCCAGCCATCCTACATCCTAGCCTCTGTTCTTCCCTGGTTCCTAAGACCACCCATGCACTCTGGAGTCTTAGGGCCACAGGACAGATATCAAACAGGTTTCACATTTATTTTTGAGAGGGTGAGTATTGTGGTACTATTTAGTTCTTATCAACTATGTTAAATCCTATGATTTTCCATTTATAGTGGATAATAGTAATGACAATGATACCAATAAATTTACCTTGTGCTGTATTGTAAAATGTAAACTATAGGATGTTTCTAGGAACTTATGGCATGTAAGTGTTATCCACCATGGTGTCTATTTTTTCTCCTTGTAGCTGTGACTGTAATAAAGGATTATTGAGATTGAGTACCACAGCCTGGCATGATGGTTTTGATGCGATCCCAGTACTCAGGAGTCAGAGACAGGACCTTGATGTGCATCTGAGGCCAGGCTGGCTCAGTTACAGAGTCAGACCTGCTCTGTGTTGTTTTGCTTTTACAGAAGAAATGTGCCAGATTTTGGATGAGGGAGTTGACTCAGGGGTACACTGTGAGGGATTACTGGGCAATAAGGAGTTTATTTGGAATCAGATTTCTAAAATAAATAAGCAGAGAGACAGAGTGGGCACAGCATGGTGGGTGTTCAGGCCCCAACACCAGAGAAGACTGAATGGAGGGATGTCTGGAGAGCATCAGCTGCCCTATGGTAGAAGACCTAGGCTCTTCTTACACTTTTTATTAAGGGGGTGAGGGTAGGTTCACAGTAGGATACTGCAGCCAGGTTCTCTGATTCTAGACAGGAGGCAGGGCAGACATGTGACACAGGCTTAGTGTGGCACCTGCAAAGCAGCCACTGGGAACTCATTTTGAGTAGAGCTCCATTGTGTGTCTATCTGTGACAATAGAAAGGTAGTTCAGAGCAGCATGTCAATTGGAGATTCTAGCATTACATGCTGGCAGAGTTTGCATCAGCCACTCCCGAACATCACCATGCTTTGTTTTAAAAATTAGAATACCCTGGTTAGAGAGATGGCTTATCAGTTCATAGCACTGACTGCTTGCTTTCCAGTGGTCCTAAGTTCAATATCCCAGCACCCACATGGTATCTAACTGTCTGTAACTCTAAGATCTGGCTCTCTCACACACATGCAGAAAAAAAACATCAATGCACGTAAAATAAAAATAAATAAATTGCTTTAAAAAAATTAGAATATTTGGATTATAAAATCACAGATGCCTCAGACTGAAAGCTGGGATACCACCATGGGACTGATCCAGACCCCTGCTCTGCTTTGTTTTGCATTTATAGAGGAAATGTGCCAGGTTTTGGATGAGGGAATTGGTTGAAGGGCACACTGTGAGGGATTAGTGAGCAATAAGGAATTTATTCAGAAACAGATTGCCATATAGATAGAGATACACAAAGGGCCCACCATGCTGGGGTTTCTAGGAGAGTTCAGGCCCTGCTACCATAGAAGACTGAATGGAGGGATGTCTGGAGAGCATCAGCTGGCCTACGGTAGAAGAATAAGAAGACTCTTACACTTTTTATGATGGGGAGGAGGGGTAACTTTACAGCAAGATCCTGCAGCCAGACTCTCTGGTTCCAGACAGGAGGAGGGGCAGACATGTGACACAAGGCAGGGTACTCTTTCATGAATACTCATTTAGGTTAGTGTGGCACCTGCAAAGCAGCCACTGAGGACTCATTTTGCATAGAGCTCCATTTTGTGTCTCTATCTGTGACAGTAGAAAGGCAGTTACAGGACAGCGTGTAGATTAGAGATTCTAGCATTACATGCTGACAGAGTATGCACCAGCCAGCCACTCAAAAACATCATCATGGTGTGTTTTAAAAATTAGAATGCCTGCATTATAAAATCACACATATTTACTTTAAACAAATTGTAAATTTATTCAAGAAAACACTATTACAACTTCATAGCTCTCCAATGTTCTTTTTGCTTAATATTTCTTTCATAACTGTCTTTCATGGGAAAGCCTTTCCTCTGTTTGAAATGAATGCCAATGGGTATTGTGCACAGTTAGAATAACACACATTTGTGGCACCACTCAGGGGCATTGTGACCAGTGCTATGCACTCCTGGTCACCTTCATTCTTTTCACTGAAGTTAAAAGCTGATGGCAGACCTGAAGCTAAAGTCAAGACTTTGCACAGAGATGGGAGTGGAATTGTGTCTTCAAAGAAAGTTTAAGAAGAGCTAGATGGCTGTCTGAGCATTTTATGGTTTTAATTTCCAAGAAGGCCTTAGGAGGGAACAAAAGAGGCATTTAAAAAAAACATCTGTAAAAGGCAGAGACATAGTGGCTTATTGCTCTAACATATGTACTTGATAGTTTGAGGGAGAAGAACTGCCAGGAGTTGGAGACCGGCCTGAACTCTAGTGAGTTCCAAAGCAGTCTGGGATGTCCAGAAAATTCCTGCCTCAAAAACAACACCAAACAAATATTGTAAAGAATTTTACAGAGTTAACTATTGAGAGGAATGAGAAGATAACATTGATTGACAGTCATTGTGTCCACAGCAAGAACAACAGTTCAGGCTCTTGACCTCATCAAAGATGTGAAGTTTGGGCTAGGGGTGTACCTCAGGGATGGAGCACTAGCTGGGTACTCACAAGGTCCTGGGTTCAATCCTTGAAGTGCAAAGACTAAACTAAAACAACAGCTGAGGTCTGGCGAGATGGCTCAGAGGTTAAGAGCACTGGTTGCTCTTCCAGAGATCCTGAAGTTCTATTTCAAGCAACCACATGTTGGCTCACAACCATCTGTAATGTGATCTGGTGCCCTTTTCTCATTTGACCTGCAGACATCCATGCAAACAGAACACTGTATACATAATAAATAAATCTTAAACAAACAAACAAACAAAACAGCATTGGGTGGGCTGAGAGAGTTAGAGCTCAGATAGAAGTCAGGCGGGAGTGACTGTGCCAGCCTGTCTCTAAAGATTAAGAGTAGAATGGACTTTGGGAGTCCATCCCACATAGAGGGATACTCCCTAAGCCTAGACACACAAAAGGGGATGGGCCTAGGTCCTATCCCAAAAGATATAACAGATTCTGAAGATGCTCCATGGAAGGCCTCACCCTCCCTGGAGAGCAGAAAGAGTATGGGGTAGGTAGGGTGTTAGGAGGGCAGAGGAAGAGGGGAGGGAAAGGAAACTGGGATCTTGTTTCTAATTCAAATTAAAAAAAAAAATTTAAAAAGAATAAGAGTAGAAAGAGAAGACAAGTATGTTAAAACTCAGTGTCATTTCTACTGCCCCTCCTTATTTCCTATTTTAGTAGATCTGAGAATATAAGGAACAAATGGGAGCAGCACAGGAGTGGGGGTTGAGATTGAAATTTGGGACTGAACAATCTTCCCCATTGTTACCCTTACATAATGTTCTGTTTAAGAAAGATTCTCATGTGTCTCAGGCTGTTGGCATCAAAGTCCCTGTTGCTGAGGATGGGCTTTGAGCACCTGCTCCTGCTGCCAGCCCCAAGGCAGTGAGCTCCTGTGGTAGTTTGAATGAGAATGGCCTCCATTGGCTCTATCTTTGAATACTTGGTTCCCAATTTGTGGGACTGTTTGGGACAGATTTGGAGGTTTGGCATTATTGGAGTATATGAGAAATCAGTGTGAGCTTTGAGATTTCAATACATTTTGGCCATTCCCAGTGTCTGTGGGGGACCAAATAATTCTGTTATGAAATATTTTGGGGCCCAGCCTCCAGCTTCAGCAAACAGGGGCACCGGAAAGCTCCGGCCGACTATTGTATTGTTAATTGCCAGTAGGACTACTATTGTTTACCAAGGCCTCAGGGTAATATGCCTCCTATTTGCATCTCTGTGGGCCTAAGCATTTGAATAGGCCTGCACCTGGGCGGAGGTGCGAGGTGTGTGAGTAACTAGGGAGAACAGAAGTTAGGGGCCAGCAGCCTGACCAGAGAGGAGAACAAGGAGAGAAATGATTCCTTCATGGTCATGACAGGACGGTTAAGAAACACCAGAAAAGATGGCTAATAAAAAAATGACTCTAGTTCTACAACATGGAACTGAGAGCTCTCTAAAGATGACAAGATGCCTGTGTTTTGTCTTTATCGCCGCTAGGGTTGCTAGGAGCTTCCAGGTCCCACACACACACACACTCAGGCCGAACCTCATGGATTAAGGCTGAGACATGCTGGGTCACGATAAGTGTCTCTCTATTTCTGCCTCAGGTTTGTGTCTCAAGGGTAACCTCTCACCTCCTGCACCAGCACCATGCCTCCCTATCTGCTGCCATGCTCCCCACATGTGGTTGTCATAACACCTAACTTTTTGAAACTGTAAGTTCCAAATCAAACACTGTGCCTCAGTCATGGTGTTTATCATAGCAACAGAAGAGTAAGTAAGACAGACTACATGCATGTGCCACCACACCCCTGTGTGCAGAGCCTAGGTACCAACCCCAGGACTCCACTATGCTAAACACAGACTTTCCCAACTCACCCTCATTCTCAGGTCTACACATTTTCAACATCTAATTCAGAGGATGCTCAAGCAATATCAGAGGTCTTTAGTAGAAACCTTAATTCAAATGGGGACTCCTGAGACATTCTGATGAGGGATTCCTGGAAGGGATGCAATGAGTGTATCATATCAGCACTGTGAAGAGGACTTTGTCTGTTCAGCAAAAGAAGATATAATCTGTGGGACAGCACTGAGCAGCTGGAGAGCCCTCTGCACTTGCTAGTCTCACCGCTGTGAGTGTGGGGAAGTGTTTCTGCATGACTCTGAAGGGGAATCCTCCCCATACCGTCCCTGCTGGGTGAAAAATCTTGATTGTGTGGCAGCTGCAGCTTCCTTCCTGTTCTCACCCTGTAACAGTCCAAGTCCAACTGCCGAGAAACACTCCAGTTCCGTCCCTTGCCTTGTTTTACCTTCCCTTTGGGCCACACCTGCCACCCAAAGCAAAACCCAACTTGGAGCTCAAGTGCAAGAGGAGTCCAGGAGAAAGCTTTTCTTTCAGGAGCAGCTTTCCTGAAGGTCTGGATCTTGTTAAGTGAGTCTGACCTGAACCTGAACAATTGGTTTAGGAAATTCTAAAGATACTTTAAAAAGCCAGTTAAGGGTAGGAGAGTTGATTGTGCACACTCTCCATACAGAGGCAGTGCAGATCAGAGGGCAACTCCGTCAGCAGGTGGAGTCAAGAATGCTTATGCGGAGGCGTGTCATTGGTCTGTTCCCCTGTAGTTTCTCTTTCTTTTCCGGAGCTCAAACTAGCCTGGAGACGGAAATACCTTGAAGTTCTGGATTGGTGCGTTAATTCTCTGTAATTTACCACTTTCGGGTTGTCTGGTGGTTGGTTGGGCAATATTAGGGTGCAGAGTTTGAGGGAGTCTTGAAGAAAAACATTGTTTTTGCTTGGGTGAGTTTGTTGTCTAAAAGAGGGATGGAGAGGGAGGGGCTTCCGGCCTCTGGCTGCAAATGCAGATGGAGAAACATGGGGAGGGTGCTGCCTGAAAAAGGGACTGTTTTAAAGATGGCTTTTAGCCAGATCCAGTCGTCTCCTGCCATTTCAGAATCTATAATTTTGAATTGTACTTTGTCGTAAAGATCTGGAACTCTGTTTTCTTTTCTTTTTTTTTTTTAGTTTTTTTTTATTTATTTAAAGTAGAAACAAGATTGTTTTACATGTCAATCCCAGTTTCCCTCTCCCTCCCCTCCTCCCTGCCCTCCACTAATACCCTACCTATCCATTACCCTTTCTGCTCCCCAGGGAGAGTGAGGCCTTCCATGGGGGTTCTTCAGAGTCTGTCATCTCCTTTGGGATAGGGCCTAGGCCCTCCCCCATGTGTCTAGGCTGAAGGAGTATTCCTCTATGTGAAATGGGCTCCCAAAGTCATTCCTATGCTAGGGATAAACACTGATCTACTACAAGAGGCCCCATATATTCCCGAGGCCTCCTCACTGACACCCACATTTATGGGATCTGGATCAGTCCCATGCTGGTTTCCCAGTGATCAGTCTGGGGGCCAAGAGCTCTCTCTTGTTCAGGTCAGCTGTTTCTGTGTTTCACCAGCATGGTCTTGACCCCTTTGTTCATCACTCCTCCTTCTCTGCAACTGGATTCCAACGATTCCAGTTCAGTTCAGTTTTTAGCTGTGGGTATCTGCTTCTACTTCTATCAGCTGCTGGATGAAGGCTCTAGGATGGTATATAAGTTAGACGTCAATCTCACTTATCAGGGGAGGGCATTTAAGGTAGCCTCTCCACTGTTGCTTAGATGATTAGTTGGTGTCATCCTTGTAGATCTCTGAACATTTCCCTAATGCCTGATTTCACTTTAAACCTATACTGGCTCCTTCTGTGAACTCTGTTTTCTAACACAGTCCCTTCCCTCGCAGCTAAGTTAAGTGAGTGCTCTGTAATGTGTTTTTATATGATAATGTGGCACTTCTGCATAGGTTAAGACAGTGGTTCTTAACCTGTGGGTCGAAACCCTTTTGGTGCTGCATATCAGATATTTACATTAGGATTCATAACAATAGCAAGATTCCAGTTATGAAGTAGCAACAAATATAATTCTATGGTTGGGAGTCACCCCAACATGAGAAACTATTACATGGTCACAGCATTAGGAATGTTGAGAACCACTGCTCTAGGAATTCTCTGTGAGCCTTTTATCTAGTCATTGATCCTGTGTGATAGCCCCAAGTCAGAAAATGACTGCTATTATTTCCTTTCCCTTCAACCATTTCCTGAAAATTGAAGTAGTGCTCAACCCAGCTTGAGACTCCAGCTATACAGAAGGCAAGAGGATCATAAGCTGAAGGCCTTTATGGGCAACTCAATAAGATTCATTCATAAAACATTTTTAAAATGTTTGTGACTTAGCTCAGTGGTAGGGTACTTTTCAAGCCTTGGGTTCAATTCCAAGGGAGGGGGAAAGCTGGGCGTTGGTGGCGCATGCCTTTAATCCAAGCAGGCAGAGGCAGAGGCAGGTGGGTGGGTCTCTGTGAGTTCGAGGCCAGCCTAGTCTCCAGAGCGAGTGCCAGGATAGGCTCCAAAGCTACACAGAGAAACCCTGTCTCAAAAAAGAAAAAGAAAAAAAAAAAAACCAAGGGGGGGGGAGAGGGTGATTGAAGATGGGAAAACAAGGGATGAGGGGAATGCTAGAGATGCACGTCTGAAGGTTTTCCCAGAAGTGACAGCTTTTCTAATGTTTCTTGGAGATACATTTTGTATTGCCCAGGCTGGTCTTCAACTCCTCAGTCAGCTCCCATCCCCACCTCCAGTCACTGGAGTGGCAGGTGCACATCACTGCTACCACCCCCTTCTCTATCTTTAAATAATGAAAATTAGATTCTTGATTTATATGGGAAATGTCTAATGATAAAAGATCATGAGAACCATGAGAGAAACCAGTTTGATCAAGGATACCATGGCTTTACCCAAGCTAACCTGGGCACCAAGAAGACATCAACAAACCTGCCCATGATTCTATTGGTTCTGTTTACTTCATTGCATATTGTTTTGAAGATGACCACTCAGAGCGGCTGGGCAGATGGCACATGCCTTTAATCGCAATACTAGAAAGGCAGAGGCAAGAAGATCTTTGTGAGTTCTAGATCAGCCTGTTCTCCATAGAAATTCCAGGACAGCCAGGACTTGAGGACAGTGAGCTCCTGTCCTCAAGATAAATGAATAGATGAGAGAGTTACAGAGACAGAGAGACAGAGAGTGAGACATAGAGAGAAACAGAGACTGAGAAAGACAACTCAGATGATTCATTATATTTTCCTAGGGTCTTTCTGTTCTATTTGTTGTATTTCTGTTTTCTGCATTTTCCTCCCTTCTGATAACTTTTGGCTTAGTTTACTCTTCTTTTTCTACTTCCCTGAGGCCAAGAATTAAGTTATTTATTTGAGACAGGTGTGTGTTTTTGTGTTTGTTTGTTTTGTTTTTTAATTTTAAGTTTTGCCCTAGCAGGGTTTCCTGTTAGACTGTCTGGAATGCACAACGGAATGCCTTGAAATGTGTGCTTCCATTGTCATTTCATTTAAAAAAAAAAAAAAACACCTCCCTTTGATTTCTTCTTTGCTCGTTAGTTTAGAGAATGTGGTTTAATTTCCATGTTTGTGAATTTTTTCCCAAACCCCTCTTTTAGTGATTTCTAGTTTCATATCACTGTGATTTAAAAAAAAATATTTCATATCATTTCAGTCTTCTTACATTATTAGAACTTCTTTTGTAGCCCCAGGGGTTATCTTTCCAGAACAGTGTTCCCATGTGTATGCTGCTGTCATTTGGAGCGAATGTCATGTATGTGGCTGGGTTAGTTCAAGATCAGTTCCTTACTGATTTCCTATGTGTCCCCTCTCTCTTTCATCTCCTTGTGGAGTACTTATAATGAGTACACTGATTTTCTGAACAGCACCCCATAAACCAGCATCTTTGTTGTCTCCATGACCTCTGTCTTTGACATGATGCTCTGAGGTGGGTTTATTTACTTATCTTTTTATTCTAAAAAATATTTTTAAAATTTTGATCATATCCTTTCCCCCTCCCCAACTTCTCCCAGATTCTCCAGTCCTTTCTACCCACCCAACTTCATCCCCCCCCCAAACTCCTGTAAAAATTGAAAACCAGTTTTCTCCAATGCTCACTGGGTATATCAATGACACTTAAGACAAGTCCCATGCTCAGGAATAGCTGGTCAACACAAATGGATTCCACATTTGTTTGTAGAGTATTTTTTCTTTTTTTCTCTTACTCTTACTGATTTTTTATTTGTTTTGTCATGATACTTTCAGGTGAGCTGACTTTAAGCTGATAGACTTTTTGCTTGATCGTGTGTCTGTTGTTGAAGCTCTCCATTCTAGGGTCAGTTTCATTCACTGACTTATTAGGTTCTAGAATTTCAGTGTTCTTTTCTATTGAATTATATCAATTTTTCAGATTTTCCTCATTAATTGTTATTTGAATTCCTATCTGGAATAGTCATGATTTCTGTCCCTTTAAGTTAGTTACTACAATATGTTAATAGTTCTTTGATAAAGTAATATTTCGTTTTTGTGGTCATTTTTTTTTTCGGTTTGGGGTGTGTGTGTGTGTGTCTGTGTGTGTGTGTCTCTGTGTGTGTCCCTGTGTTAATGCCGTTTTGGGGTGTGTGTGTCTGTGTGTGTGTGTCTCTGTGTGTGTCCCTGTGTTAATGCCTGCATATTATGGAGCAACTCTTCCAAACTTTTCTGGTTGGAGTTTATAGAGAAGGATTTACACATTCCATATCAGGGTGGCACTCAATTAGGTATGGTGGCTCTAATCCTAAGTGAGTGCAGTGGTAGACTCTTCATACAGTTCTCTAAGCAGGGCTCAGTGCTTGCCAAATCTGAAAGTGCCTCCGTGGCCTGATGTGCAGGCATTTATGACAGCAGCAGCAGCAGCCATGCAGCTTGTTGTTCCTTCCTCAGTAGGAAGGATTGTAGGGGACTTGATATTTTCCCTTTCCAAAGCATGAAGGCCAATGATAGCCTCTCTTAGGTATATCCTCTGAGTGTCTGTGCGGTCAGGGATGTGTGAAATGAACCACTGTGGCATGTATTAACTGCTTCATGAGTTCCTCACCACCAAAATGCTGATAGATGGTGTCTTCATTAGGGTTTCTTTTGCTTTGAAAAGACCATGACAACTCTTATAAAGGAAAACATTTAACTGAGGTTAGCTTACAGTTTCAGAGATTTAGTCCATTATCGTCATGATGCGAAGCATGGTATTGTGCAGGCAGATATGGTGCTGGAGGAGGAGCTGAGGGTTCTACATCTTGATCCTCAGACAACAGGATTTAAACTGTCTACTGCACTGAGCATAGCTTGAGAAAGGGAGACCTCAAAGCCCACTCCCACAGTAACATACTTCCTTCAAGAAGGCCACACCTCTCCAACAAAGACTCACCTCCTAATAGTGCTACTCTCTTTGGGGGCCTTTTTCTTTCAAATCACAACAGATGGAGATTACTACAAAGCATGACCTGAGACCCTCAGGCCCAACATAGCAACCCAGGTCCGAGGAGAAGGAACGTAGCTACCCATGGCTCTGACTCCGTAACAGAGCAGGGTAAAGCACCATCATAGATTCAGGAATGAATAAGAACTCTATACAGAATGGCAGACAGACTGAGAAAGAAATTAGGGACATAGAACCCTTCACAATAGCTTCAATAATGTAAAATATCTTGGGGAAACTCAAACCAAGCAAGTGAAAGACCTGTATGATAAAAACTTCAAGTCTTTGAAGAAATTAAAGAAGGTATCAGAAAATGGAAAGATCTCCCACATTCATGGATCTATAGGATCAACATAGTAAAAATGGCCATTCTACAAAAAGCAATCTACAGATTCAACAAATTCCTGTCAAAATTCAAACACAACTCTTACAGACTTTGAAAGGATAATTCTCAACTTCATATGGAATAATAAATCCTGAACAATAGAAGAACTGGAGGTAACACCATCCCTGATTTTAAGTTGTACTACAGAGTTATGGTAATAGAAACTACATGTAATTGGTATAAAAATAGACACATTGATTAATGGAGATGAATTGAAGACCCAGACATAAATCTACACACCTATGGACACGTGATTTTTAATTTAAAAAAAAGTCAGAAATATACAATGGACAAAGGAAAGCACCTCAACAAATGGTGCTGGTCTAAGTGGATATTTGCATGTAGAATAATGCAAAGAGATCCATATCCATCACTGAGCACAAAACTTAAATGCAAGTGTATCAAAGACCAGTAACACTGAACCTGATAAAAGAAAAAGTAGGGAATAGCTTTGAAATCATTAGCACAGGAGACAACTTTCTGAATAGAACACTGATAGCACAGGCACTAATATCAACAATTAATAAACAAGACCTTATTAAACTAAAAACTTCTGTTAGGCAAAGAACAAAGTATCAGCCTACAGAATGAGGAAAGATTTTTTTACCAACTCCACATCTGATACCAGTCTAATACACAAAATATATAAAGAATTCAAGATATTAGATATCAAAACCCCAAATAATCCAGTTATAAAATGTGGTACAGATCTAAACAGAGAATTCTCAATAGAGGAATCTCAAATGGCTGAGAAACACTTAAAGAAATGTTCAACATACTTAGCCATCAGGAAAATGCATCTTACAGATTGGCTAAGAATAAAAAACGCAAGTGACAGCTTATTCGAGTAAAAATGTGGAACAAGGGGAACACGGCACCATTGCTGCTGGGAACACAAACTTTTAGCCACTATGGAAATCAATATGGCAGTTCCTCAAAAAGTTGGGAATTGATCTTCCTAAAGACCCATCTATACCACTCTTGGGAATATACCCAAAGGACACTCTATTCTACCACAAGGAAACTTTTTTTGGTTTTTTTGAGACAGGGTTTCTCTGTGTAGCTTTGGAGCCTATCCTGGCACTTGCTCTGGAGACCAGGCTGGCCTCGAACTCACAGAGATCCACCTGCCTCTGCCTCCCGAGTGCTGGGATTAAAGGCCTGCATCACCAACACCCAGCCTACCACAAGGAAACTTAGTGCTCAACTATGTTCATTGCTGTTTTATTCATAATAGGCATCTAGGTTGTTTCCAACCTAGATCCTTTTTAATAGAATAAAGAGGTTAAAGAAAATGTGGCACACTTACACAATGAAGTATTATTCAGTTGTTAAAAAATAACATCATGACATGTGCAGACAAATGGATGGAACTAGAAAAAAAAATCCCAAGTGAGGTTCAAGAAAGCCAAGTATCATATGTATTTACTTATATATAGATATTAGTCGTTAAGCAAATGATAATTAAACTACAATGTACAGACCCAGAGTGGACAGATAAAGAGGAGGACTCTAGGGGGAAACATGGATTTTTCTGGCAAGAGGACATGGAACAGATTTTTGCAGATGGACTGAGGGCAGGAGTGGGAAGGATCAGCTTGGGGGAAGAGTGCAGGAAGAGACAAATGAAACTGGGGGCCATTTGGGGGAAATGGTGTGAAAACTTATGTAATAGAAACTTTCTGCAGTCTATGAGAGTGACCCTTGTAAGGACTCCCAGTATGGGAGAGTACAGAGCTTGGAGGAGTGGAGAACGGGGAAACTGTGGTCTGGATGTATTGTATGAGAGAAAAATAGATTTCAATTTAAAAAAAATGGAAGAAAAAGAAAACAGGAAGAAGTTCAAGCTTTGGGTAGCAGGGTGCAGTGGCAGCTTAGACTCCATAGAATAAAGCCTTGAGTGGTGCATATCATGTTTTGACTCTGCCCACTAACATGCATAGTAAATCCAATCCTCAAACCAGTAGGATTAAAGGTTGAGGCCTGTAGCCTTCCTGAGAGGATATTTGTTACAGTTGTAGGAATAACCACTGCTTTTGGGTTTGATTCCTGGTGAAAGCATGAGTTTGGCGTCTCCACCTCAAACACTCTTGGCTGCACACATCTCCCCTTTCCCTTCAGCTTTACATCATGACGTGATACAGCAAGATGACCTCAGCAGCTGGGTGTGGTGGCAGACACCTTCATTCCCAGCAGGCAGATCACTGTGAGTTTGAAGCCATTTCAGCCTATTTAGGAATTTTCAGGACCACAGCGCTATGCAAGAGATCTGGAACAGTGCTGTTGGCAGTGCCACACAGTGGAAGATAAGGTGGCAGAGTCCTCAGATCTCATAGGAGGTGGAACCCTCAACAAAGATGATGACTTCTTGGGGAGGAAGGCAATATCAGTGGCTCAGGGAAAATTTCCAGGGGCAAATCATGGTTTTAAGGAGTACCAAGACACTTCCTCATAGAAGTGGGATTGCCATAGCTTAACCAGGGCTCCTTTTCCATGAGAGGTGGGCGCTGGGAGAAACAGCTTCATGGCTCAACCAGATTCTGTGTGCTGGGATAGTAGGGCACTCTTATTGGTAATTAGTGTTCTGTGTGCGGGGTGGTAGGGCACTCTTCCTGGTAAGTTAGCATTGGTAGTTTTGCTTTAATTTTAGGAAAGAGCTCCAAATTAGTTACATGTTTCAGAATCTGAGGCCTAATCAGTCATTTGAGAAGTATCACATATTCTGTCTCCTAGAGGCTTATGTAATACCAGACACCCTCCAGCTCTCTGCATACCAGCCACACTGGCAGTTCAAAAATCAGAGAAGATGCCCAAACTCTGTGTCAGGATGTTCTTGCATGCCATTTCTTATACCTAAGGCCTTTGTCTTCTTCCCGTAACTCCTTGTGTCTTCTATTTGGGAATCTTGGACCACCCCAATTTCCACCATTGTTTATATTATAGTTTGTGCATATCTCTAGTCTTGCTTGTCTTGTCTGTTATTTCTGATTTCAATTATTTGTTATTTTAATTTTTGTTTGTACAATGCTGGTAACCAAACCTTTGACCCTGTGCATTCTAGGCCAGCACTCTCTCTATACTGGAACTATTTCCCAGGTCTTTGTTCCCAGAATTCAATTTAGGATAACTGTCCTATTAAATGTTTAGATGCATTTATTTTTGCATTTTTATCTTAGTTTCTCATATTGTTTTTCTCCCTTGGCTTCTTTGCCTTGTACTAGTGCAGTCATGGCCCATCCTTGATTTTTGCATAGTCAGTGTTCATTCTGTTCCTCTCTTTCTTATTTGGCCCTCTTTTTGTCTTTTCATTCATGCAGGCATCTGAGCAGGGGTGTCAGAAGTCCTGACAGGCAGACACAGGACCACAGCAATTATGGCTTCAGCATTCATGGCGAATGTAAAGGAGGAAGTGACCTGTCCTATCTGTCTGGACCTGATGGTGGAACCTGTGAGTACAGATTGTGGTCACAGCTTCTGCCGAGCCTGCATCACACTGAACTACGAGTCCATCAAAGGCAAAGAGGGAGAGTTCATCTGCCCTGTGTGCCGAGTTACTTACCTGTTTGGGAATCTGAGGCCTAATCGACATGTGGCCAACATAGTGGAGAGACTCAAAGGGTTCAAGTCCAGTCCAGAGGAAGAGCAGAAGGTCAGTGTCTGTGCAAAGCATGGAGAGAAACTCCAGCTCTTTTGTGAGAAGGACAAGGTGGCCATCTGCTGGCTTTGTGAGCGATCTCAGGAACACCGAGGACACCAAACAGTTCTCATCGAAGAGGTGGCCCATGAGTACAAGGTAAGAAGTCGGAGGGTATGGGGGATGGAGCAGGAGACAGTACCTGCTGTGAAATCTCTACTTCTGTGATCATTCAGTTACTTGATCATCATGGAATGGAGATTTCATGCCATCCTGTTACCTTTTGAGGCCTGAAAGAATAGGATTATTCACTGGGCTTAATCAGAGCATCTTCCTGGGTTCAAACTCTAGAACAAGAGCAAATGTTTTTACAGGTTGCTGTATGCTGTTGAGATTTTATGTCCAAGAAAAGCGCTGGTTATTCTTTAGTTATCACAGTAAATGAGATGAGGCTTGGAGAAATGACTGAATGGCTTGTTGCTAAGCATAATGATCTGAGTTCGAACCCAGAAACCATACAATTACAGGCAAGAACTTATAGCTGCAAATTGTTCTCTGATCTGTACATACCTAGGGTGGCATGAGTGTGGGTATACATAAGCACATGCCCCCCACACACAGACACACACATGCACTCACATACAAAATTAGTTAATTAAAAAGACTAATGAGGTGCATTGTTACACTTCATTTCCTCTTTTCTTCTATCGGTTTCTTCTTTTTTTACACATTAGTGTAAAAAAATCAGGTTAGTTGGGTGTGGTAGCAGATGCTTGTAACTCCAACATTTCTGAGGCAAGAGGAACAAGGATTCTTTGCATAGTGAGCCCACATTATTATTAGTTTGTTTGCTTGTTTGTTTTTCTCTGTGTAGCCCTGGCTGTTCTGGAACTTATTCTTGTAGATCAAGCTAGCCATGAACCCAGGGACCTGCCTGCCTCTGCCTCCTGAGTGCCATTTTAAAGGTATGCACCACCATACCTGAATTGAGACCACCTTTTTAAAAGAGGATGGGAGGATAGGGAATCTTTTGAGTTGATGGTGACCTTATTATTTTCTTCCAACTCATAAGTTCTAGCTGCCGTTCTGTTTCTGCAAACTCTACTGAGACCAACTTGATTTTGTCCGTTTGCCTTATTTTTAATGTTTATCATCTATTTGTTTATAATAGATAAAAACTATATGTGTAGGGGCTATGGTGGCACATGCCTTTAGTCCTAGCACTTGGAAAGCTGAGGCAAGTGGATCTCTATGTGTTCAAATCCAGCCTGATCTATAGAGCTAGTTCCAGAACAGCCAAGGCTACACAAAGAAACCCTGTCTCAAAAAACCAAAACAAAAAGAACAAAACAAAAAAAAACCCTCTATATGTATGTTTGTGTGTATATATGTATATATTCTATGTACATAATGTATACCACATCCTTTTAAAGAAATGTAGCAGTCCTAAGGCATCCTGTCTTTCTAGAAGGGTTTCTTGGCCTTTCAGCTTGACTCTGCTATAATTCTTCTCCCACAGGAGAAGCTCCAGGCAGCTCTGAAGAAGCTGATGGCAGACAAGAAAAAATTAGAGAACTGGAAAGATGATCTTCAGAAGGAGAAAGCTTCCTGGGAGGCAAGTGGGGACCCTTCCTCAGGGAGTTAGCCTGATGCCTGGGAGGGACCTGGGCAAGAAGCTCCCTGGCTCTTCATTCCCTGGTAGTTGATGAGGCCAAGGGGCCTTGATTAGTCCTCTCTACCTGTTCCCTTGCAGCTGGGGCTGCACAGTGAGTGCATCACAACTGAGTCTGGCTATGTAAGGAGCTAAAACCAGGGAGGGGCCTGGTGAGAATGGGCACTGAGTCCTGGGTCTCACTCCTGTGGTGTTTTCTGGAACTATGACTGTTGCTAAGATGCTTGGGAATGGTTGGATCATGAATGTGTACTCAGAGTTCAGTTTCTGCTAGGGAATGAGATGCAGGTATGGTGGCATGTGCCTTAATTCTAGCATTTGGGAGGCAAAGGCATGCAGATCTCTGTGAGTTCAAGGCCAGTCTGGTGTACATAGCAAGTTCCAGGCCAACTAGGGCTACAGGGTGAGGATGGGTCTCAAAATTTAAAAAAAAAAAAAACAATAAACAAAAATCCAAAACAAAACGCAAGGAATGTGTGGAATAAGGTCTCAGTGGTTAAGAGTATTTCTTGTTCTTCCAGAGGACCTGATTGGTTTCCTATACCCACATGGTGGTTCATAACCATCCGTAACTCCCGTTCTGGGGCACCCAATGCTCTCTTCTGGCCTCTGTGGGCACCTGGCACACACATGATGCAGGCAGGCAAAATACACACAAACATAAAATAAAAATAAAAACATTTTTAAAATCTGGTTTTTAATCAAAATAAAATTTAAAGATTTGTTTATCTTTTTAACTGGGCATTGGTGGTGCACACCTTTAGTCTAAGCACTCAGGAGGCAGAGGCAGATGGATCTCTGATTTTGATAGATCCCAGCCTGGTTTACAGAGTGAGTTCCAGAACAGCCTGGACTACACAGAGAAACCCTAGCTAGGAAAACAAACAAATTAAACAAAACAAAACAGAAAAACCTCCACGGAGGACATTTTGACAGACTGAATAATTCTCCCATTTCTTATCTCTGAAGAACAAAATTCAGAAAGATGTAGAAAATGTTCAGACAGAGTTTAGAAAACTGGGAGACATTCTGGACTCTGAGGAGAAGAGTGAGCTGCAGAAACTGATGCAAGAGAAGGAAGGCATCATGAACAGCCTGGCAGAGGCTGAAGATAAACATGCCCAGCAGAGCAAGTTACTAGGAGACCTCATCTCAGATGTGGAGCATCAGTTGCAGTGCTCAACCATGGAAATGCTGCAGGTAAGACTGCAGGAGGCCCCAGCATCTGAGAGTCAGGAGACCTGGAAGTCATTTCCCTCCCTCTGTGCTGCTGTGATCTTCCTGTCTGTGACCTTCCTGAACTCTTTCCTGAGCCAGTTTCAGAGGCTGGGGAATCATTGCATGCATAAATGACAAGGAGTGAGATTCTATTTGTATTTAGTTTACCAAGTGCAGCTTAAAAGATAAAGTTTGGGGAGGACTATCTGTTAGGTGTGTGGGCATCTGTGGCATCAGATCTTTACAGAGCTGTGTGTGCTTCAAGTACTTTTATTTATTTTTTATTTAGTTTTATTTTTTTAATTTTTCAAGACAGGGTTTCTCTTTAGCTTTGGAACCTGTCTTGGAACTTACTTTGTAGACCAGACTGGCCTCGAACTCACAGAAATCCATCTGCCTCTGTTGGTATTAAAGGCATGCACCACCACCACCCAAGCAGCTTCAAGTACTGTTATTAATTCCAGCTAGTCACTGGCAACAAGAAACTTCTTGTTATGAGAGATATTTATGTTGTCTACTATAAGATGAGTTGAGGCTTCCCCCATCTGCAGTTTTTAAGCAATTAAGAGGACTGGCTGCTCCAGAGTGCCTGAGTTCAATTCCCAGCCCCCACATAGTAGTTCAAAACCATCTATAGCCAGGCAGTGGTAATGCATGCCTCTAGTCTCAACACTCCGAAGGCAGAGGCAGGTGGATCTCTTTGTAGATCAGATTGGTCTACAAAGCGAGTTCTAGGACAGGCTCCAAAGCTACATAGAGAATCCATGTCTCGAAAAACCAAACCAAACCAAAACAACAACAACAAAAAAAGTAAAATAAAAAAAAAACACCTGTAACTCTAGTTGAAGGGAATCCGACATCCGACACCTTCTGACCTCCACAGGTACTAGGCTTGCTAGTGGTGCATAGAAATATGTGCAAGCAAATGTTCACATGTATAAATTCATAACAAAAGTCTAAAAAGATAATTTGGGCTGGGCGGTGGTGGCACACGCTTTTAATCCCAGCACTTGGGAGGCAGAGGCAGGCAGATCTCTGTGAATTCGAGTTCAGCCTGATCTACAAGAGCTAGTTCCAGGATGGCCTGCAAAGTCACAGAGAAACCCTATCTCGGAAAAAATAAATAAATAAATAAATAAAAGATAAATTGGTATTACTTTTAAAAATCATTTCAACTAATTAAGCCACTACACATTGTAGTTTTTGTTTTGCTATTTAAAGAAGTGTTAACATTTTATTTTATTTTGTATCACATTTATCTAGGTCATTTACCCTCCTTAAAATATTTTATGTACCAGGTGGTGTTGGTGTACGCCTTTATTCCCAGGTGGATCTCTGTGAGTTTGAGGCCAGCCTGGTCTAAAGGAGAAACCCTGTCTGACAAAATCGTGTGTGTGTGTGTGTGTGTGTGTGTGTGTGTGTGTGTGTGACATTTACTATAGCCAGCTATGCTAGCACACATCTGTATTCTTAGCTCTTTGGAGACAGAACAAGAGAATTGTCACAAATTCCAAGCCAGTATGGTTTTTGTAGTGAGTTCTGTAACTCCAATTCCATGAGATCTGACACCCTTTGACCTCCTCTGGCCCCAGGCACCAGGCAGAGCCACAGAGCAAGATCCTGTCTCATTATCCAAAAAATGCACACATACACACACTGAGAGAGGGGTGGGGGAGTATTTTTTTTTTTTTTTGAAACCGTATCTCTCCATTATAGCCCTGGCTGTCCTAGAACTCAATATGCAGTCCAGGCTGACCTTGAACTCCTGACCTGCCTCTACCTCCTGAGTGCTGGGATTAAGGTGTGCACCACCATGCCCAGTGAATCAACTTTTTTATATAAATGTGGTTTTTATTTTATGTGCATGTGTGTTTTGCCTGCCTTTATGCACATGCACCATGCATGTGCCTAGTGCCTCCGAAGGCCAGAGTTACAGATGACTATGAACCACCATGTAGAATAGCAAGCAACAAGCATTCTTAACCATTGAGCCATTTCTCCAGCCCAAGTATGAGTTGTTTGTTTTGTTTTGTTTCGTTTTGTTTTGTTTTTAAATGCCAAAGTGGAAAAATTGTCTGTAGAGGGAATGTTGGGATAATGCCAGGGTCCACAGATTTTAGACATTGTTAAAGCTATGAAAGGCTATAATTAAAAAGTAAAAATGTGGGGCCAGAGAGATGGCTCAGCCATTAAGAATACATGCTGCTCTTGCAAAGAACCTAGGTTCCATCCCAGAATCCATGTGGAAACTCACTACCATCCCCATTTCCATGAGATGTGACACTTTCTGACCTCCATGGGCATCAAGCAGACACACATGTGGTGCACAGACATTCATGCAGGCAAAACACACATAAAATAAAATATAAAAGAAATTTAGAAACAAGTTAAAAGAGGAGAGTTAATAACCAGAGAAAGAAAAAACTGTAGGAATAAGAAGGGAAGCCCATGAAATGTGGTTGAAAAGTCTTACAAAGAACATTATTAGCCAGGTGGTGGTGGCGCACGCTTTTGATCCCAGCACTGGGAGACAGAGGCAGGCGGAACTCTGTGAGTTCGAGGCCAGCCTGGTCTTCAAAGAGAGTTCTAGGACAGTCTCTAAAACCTACAGAGAAACCCTGTCTCGGAAAAAAAAAAAACAAAAAACAAAAGTAGACTGTGTGGAGAGAAAAAAAATATCTCAAAGCTCAAAGCCTAACTGACCAAGTCACAGACAAAAGCCAAGTCATAGTCTGGCATATGCAAGAATGGAATAAATAATGATAGAAAATAAGTAAAAAGAATGCCATTGGAGAGAATTTCTAACACAGTTGTGCTGAGTTGAAAGATGTGCTTCTCAGATCCCTTTGATTCTAGAAGGTTCTTCTTGGTGCTGTGTCAGAGCAGCTAGGGTCTTACATAGATCTTTACAGCTCCCATGTTCCCTGTGTTCTGGTGTGTGTGGAGGATAGGTTCTAACTCCTTCCCAAGTGGTTCCCCTGCACTCTACCATGATGTCTTCTGGTCCTAGTAATGTTTTGACTGCTTTGTTGTGTGCACTTCAGTAGTGGACTTGGCTCTGGAAGTAGTCCATTTGTGGGGAAGCTCCTGCTTCCCTACAGTGATCTCTGCTGCCTTAATCAGATCATTTACAGACTATCACTTGCAGGAAATGGCTCATCATGTGTTACCATGACTAGTTTCTTTCACAGAGTTTCAGTTGCAAGGATTCTCACCCGCCATCTCAATGAGAAGTCTTAATTCCTGTTTTCTCTCTTCCTATCTAGGGTGTGGATGGCATCATATCATGGTATGTATGGCTGCCAGTGGCAGTCTTTCTGTGTGGTAAGAATGGCTTAGTCTTCAAATAGAACATAATTTCTCCCAGGTTGGGGCCATTTAGATGTAGTATTGAATTTCTGATTTAAAAAAAAAAAAGGGACCAAGTGTTTTGCCACTATTGAGGATAGATTAGAAATGGGTTGTGGGGAACTGTTTGGCTCAGTAGCGGGATTCAGGATAAAAGATTAGGGTACTCTTTGTTTGTTTTGTTTTGTTTTTGCTTTTTTGAGACAGGGTTTCTCTGTGGCTTTGGAGGCTGTCCTCGAACAAGGTCTTATAGACCAGGCTGGTCTCAAACTCATAGAGATCACCTGCCTCTGCCTCCCAAGTGCTGGAAAAGGCGTGAGCCACCAACACCTGGCTGGAAGAGGATATCCTTGTGTCTGGATAGCACACCCACATGGCCACACCAAAGATTTTCCTAAGACACTGGGATCATATTTGCTTTAATTTGATGTCCTCATCTTTTCCAACTATTTTTCCAAGAGAGCCTGAAAAATCAGATGTTATCAATGATTCTCTATAATTAGCTACAGGTTTTGAAGACATTGGACTTTTCCAGATGTATTTCCTATACTTGATTTGCTTTGAGCACCTGGGTATGGGTTCTGTTGCCTGCTGTTTGATCCTTTCCCAAGAAACCACATTCATGAAAATATTTTTCCACACCTTTTTCCCTAAGTACCTTAGTTTTGGTTTGCTTTAAGATTTTATTATGTTAACATCTCTTGTGAGTTCAAGGAAGCAGAGTGGGAGAAAATAAATTGCTTAATTTTAGAAGGTAAGAACGATGATTTTGAGAACATATGGCTTTCCCAATACCACACTGAAAGTAAGCTGGAGGGAACATGGTTGTATCCCCAGCTGGCAGGCTACCCTCTTCAGCATCCTCAAGAGAGCTCAAGTGTGTCTGTGGTTTGAAATGAGAGGAAATCAGTGGTGGTTGGGGGTCCTTAAGAGGGACTGGAGGTCAATTGTTTTTATCCTTAGGAGTCATGCCTTTTCACTCAAGAGACCCAAAACTATCCCCAAGGAACGAAGAAGAGTGTTCCGAGCCCCTGATCTGCAAGGCATGCTGCAAGTCCTGCAAGGTGAGGAGAGTTATGTTACATGACTTAGCTTTGGGAATCTAGTAGCTTCTAGATATGAACAAGGAAGGGTAGATACCACGTATGGATGATTTGACCATCTCTGATGGGACATGACCATCTTTGACCCTATTATGGTTTTCAACTCTTCCCCCTGATCTTGAGAAGAAATGGACTTTAGAATACCTTTGCTTTGCTTGCATTTAATATTGTGAATTTTTATCATTTCAGAGCTCATAGAAGCCCAACGTTACTGGGGTAAGGAGAAAATACAGCACATAAGCCACCCCCTTCTCACTGTCTTGCAGAGCTTATGTTTCTGTTAGGTGTCATGTTGCTTCTCCCAAGATATGTAGTATGCTTCTGCAATCTACCTCTGCTGTGATTTCTACACAGAGTTCCTTTCTTCTTCAACTTTTATTCATAACATCACAAATAAGGCTGTTTCCTGTCCTCATGACACTCCTGTCATTTTTGTGCAGTTCAAGTGACATTGATTGAAAACAACAATCCAAACATTGTCATTACTGCGGACAAGAGACAAATAAGATATGAAGACCATCAAACAAGAAATGTTGCATCTGGGGGTCAGAACTGTCGTGAAGGTGTCCTGGGCTACCCTGCTATCCAATCAGGAAAACATTATTGGGAAATGGATGTGTCTGGAAAAGGTGCCTGGGTTCTGGGATTAAGTGATGGAAGCTACCTCTTCAATCCGATATTTCATTCAAATGCTGAAAGATGCCTAAATCCTTTATTTCGTTTGGGTATCAGCAATGACTCACATTATCAACCTAAATATGGCTTCTGGGTCATAGGGTTGTGGAACAAGTTTGTGTATAATGCTTTTGAGGAGTGTACTTTCACAGGCAAGCCCAGGGTCTTGACCCTCTCGCTGATGGTTCCTCCCTGTCGCGTTGGCGTTTTCCTTGACTATGCAGCTGGCACGCTCTCGTTTTACAATATTTCCCACCATGGGACTCTCATCTATAGATTCTGTGCAAATTCCTTTCCTGATAGGGTTTTTCCATATTTTAATCCTATGGGATGTTCAGAGCCAATGACAGTATGCTGGCCAGACTCTTAAACCTTCACCTGTTTCTGTGCAGGCTCTGGTGTGTATCTTATATGCCTGAGCTCATGGGTAGCATTTTACCCTTTAATATATACATATATCTGCTGTCTCTAGTCTTCCTGTATGAACATCTTTCACTGCCAAAGAGGATATAGTCATTTCTTTAGGCTATATTCTCAGTTCTTTGGTTTTTTTTAGGTGAGAATAGTAAATCATTTCCCATATATTCAAGGACAAATGTTTGAGTCCTCTTATTTAAGCTAACACTGCTGCCAAATTCTTCTTTTATTCTCCATGCGAGAGATGGAACCTAAGACCTTGTGCATAATGAAGAGGTGTGCCACCACTGAGCCACTTGCCTTACCTTTGCCATGTCTCTGTAACCTCATTGTATTCATCAATGAAAGAAGATAAAATAAAAGTTTTCAACAACTTGTCTGTTAGTTTTGAAAATTATATGTAGGAGTCCATGGTTAAGAAATGCACCCTTAGCAGTAGGCCATTTTCACCATGATGCTTCTTCATCAAGGAATTAGAAATTAGACAGTGTGCTCATTTAGCATGTCTACCAAAAGTGGAATGATACAGAGAAAATAATATGGCCCCTGCCCAAGGATGACACACATATTCATGAAGTGTTCCTTTTTTTGTTTTTTGAGACAGGGTTTCTCTGTGTAACAGTTCTGGTTGTCCTAGAACTCAGTCTGTAGACCAAGTTGGCCTCGAACTCACAGAGATCTGCCTGCCTCTGCCTTCCAAGTCTGGAATTAAAGGCTGGTACCATCACTGCCTGGCACATTTCCATTTTTTTTTTTTTTTTTTTTTTTTTTTTTTTTTTTTTGGGATTTTTTTTCGAGACAGGTTTCTCTGTGGCTTTGGAGGCTGTCCTGGAACTAACTCTTGTAGACAAGGCTGGTCTTGAACTCACAGAGATCCGCCTGCCTCTACCCCCGAGTGCTGGGATTACAGGCGTGCACCACCACCGCCCAGCTCATGTTCCATATTTTTGAAGACCATTAATGTCCTAAAACATCTTACAAAGATTGAGAGAGTAGACAATGTGTATCCAGAGTACCTGAGTTCAAGTCCTGGTTCTAAGCATGCCAGCAGTCCCAGCATGAATAACACATTTAACAGGCATGATTATTCTCTTATAATTTTGCCATAAATACTGCAGGTGCCTCAAGCCAGTGTAAGAAAGTAAATATGAAGCTGGTGATACAGCTCAGCCCTTGTCACCAAACCTGGGCCCCTGGGTTCGATCCTCTGAACCCATACTCCTGCATACTTTCCTCTGAATTCCACATACACTGTGACATATAGAGGCCCGGACACACACATAAACACAAAATGAGCAAATACAATTTTTTTAAATAAGAAACTTGGTAAGTACAGAGCATCCACTGAAGTATCTCAGTGTTTGTTCTGTGACTTACAGGAGATACACACTGTATTTTAGTGTCCCATGAACCCATGGGCAAATGGGGAAGATCACTCCAGCTTTTTCATTAGTGTCTATGTATATGTATGCTGCTTCTTTTTCACACTTAAGGGTAATTTATAGCCTTATCAAGTACTAAATTCTGTGATATTCAGATTATTTTTAGTAATAATGACCATTTTTGGCAAATTTTTGGCAATTTGGCAAATTTTTCTTTCAGTGTATTGTAAAACATAAACAACACCAAGCTACTCAGAGAAACCCTATATGGAAAAAAGACAGACAGAAAGGAAGGAAGGAAGGAAGGAAGAAAGAAAGAAAGAAAGAAAGAAAGAAAGAAAGGAAGGAAGAAACAACAGAGTCTTACTAGGGACTTGTCTTGTTTCAGTAATCCAGTATGGTGTTTAATTCCATGAGGGCCAGTCCTTATCACTGACTAAAATAAATGATTATTAAGATTATGTATCAGGCAGGGCAGTGGTGGCCCACACCTTTAGTCCCAGCACTCGGGAGGCAGAGGCAGGTGGATCCCTGTAAGTTCGAGACCAGCCTAGTCTACAAGAGTTAGTTCCAGGACAGTCTCCAAAGCCACAGAGAAACCCTGTCTCAGAAAAAAAGAAAAATAAATAAAATAAAAATGAATATTCTTAACTTCACAGCTGACCTATCTTCTTTTATTTAAATATTTCTTCAGTAATTGTGTTTCATGGGAATCCCTTTCCTCTGTAATAAACTTCAGTGTGTATTGTTCACAGTTAGAATCACACACATTTCTGGCATTTCTTAAGGACAGTGTGGCCAGGGCTGTGCTTGTCTAGTCACCTTCAGCCTTTTCACAGAGGTTAGAGGTTGATGGCAGACCTGAAGGACAAAGTCTGTTGTTGAAGGTTTATTTTACTATTTGGGGTGCATGATTGTTTTACCCGAGTGCATGTCTGTGCACCACATTCATGTCTGTGCCTGTGAAGGTGGTGAGCCTCCATGTGAATGCTGAGAATCAAACCCAGGTCCTTTCCAAAAATAAGTGCTCTTAACCACTGAACCAACTCCCCCGCCCAAAGTCTGTTTCCTTTACAGAGATAGAAGAATTGTGTCTGCAGAATTGTGTCACACAGGGCTGGATGGCTGCCCATGCATTTTAGCATTTCATTTCCACTCTTCCCCAACAGTTCTGAGCTACTGGGAGACGCGTACATTTTGTCAGATAGCCTCTCTGCAGGGTTCAGCCATAGATAGATTTTCTCAACTTCTTCAGCAACCTGCTGGTAAAGTACTAGTCTGATGGACTATGATCATAAAACTTGCAATAAGATACTAGATATATCTTATCTAGATTAGATTAGATATCTACCAAATTAGATAGATGAAATTAGAACTACTCCACATGCGGTTATACATATGGGATCAAACTGGCAAGGAAGAACATTGGAAGACAATGTGTTAATATTTAAAATACCCCAAATATCTCAACCAAGCGGATGAAAGAACAGAAATTTTCTTCCTTCCTTTTTTTTTTTTTTTTTTTTTTTTTTAAAAAGGGTTTTTTTTTTGTGTTTTGGGGTTGTAGCTTTGGAGCCTGTCCTGGAAGTCACTTTGTAGGCCAGGCTGGCCTGGATCCCACAGAGATCTGCCTGCCTCTGCCTCCTGAGCACTGGGATTAAAGGCATGCACCACTACCACCCAGCAGAATTTCCTTTCTTGTGATACTGGATCCAAGTTTTCTTCCATTTTCCCCCTACAAGTTTCTACTGGGCTACAGATGGGTCACTTCTTACTTTCACCATAGCTGCAGTTCAATATAGATATTTTAATGCAGGTTTATACAAGAGGGTTAAAACAGGAGAGGTCCTCAGAAAACATACCTGAGAGCATAGGTGCGGGTATTTCAAAGAAATTATTCTCAAGGAGTAAGACATACCCAACTGAAGACCCTTGCTGTGTTTGTGTTCATGGTTTTGGCCCCTGAACATGTGGCCCCAAAGAAAATCTCCAGCATTCTGGAGGCAAAGGTAGGTGGATCTCTGTGAGTTCAAGGCCAGCCTGGTCTATAGAGTGAGTTCCAGGACAGGCTCCAAAGCTACACAGAGAAACTCTGTCTCAAAAACAAAAAAAAACAAAAAAACCAGATGTAATGTGTCTAGCCATCTCAAGCCCCTTTGTAGTAGGGCTTTCTTTTGGGCTGCCCACTCACAAATAATGACACAGAGACTTATTAATTATTAAAGCTTGGCCTTAGCTTAGGATCATTCCCAACTAGATTTTTTCTTCTATTACTAGTTATATTTACTATTTATTGAGAACCAACGACCTCTTATAACTTAAATCATCCTGCTTCTATTAATCCATGTTCTGCCATGTGGCTTTTACCTCTCTCTTAGTCTGTATGTCTGACTTGCTCTACATCTTGCTGGTGTCTCCTGTGTGCCTAGATTATCTCTTCCTCTCTCTCCCTGGAAATTCCACCTATCCTCTCCTGCCTAACTATTGGCCATTCATCTCTTTATTAAACCAATCACATTCCTTAGGCAGGTGAGGCAAAACATAGACACATCTTCACAAAGTATAAATAAATATTCCTCAACACCCCTTTGACTTTCCTGCAATGATGGGCTGTATTGGAAGCCAAAGTAAACCCTTTCTCTCTTAAATTTTCTTTCCGCAGGGTGATCTGTCACAGTAACAGGAAATGAAACTAACTAGTACTGTTTGAATAAAGTTGAAAGATGCAGAACTATTATACAGAAATCAAAAACTGGGGGTGGAGACATAGCTCAGTGGTTAAGAGCACCCACCACCTAGTCTTCCAATGATCCTGAGTTCAATTCCCAGCAACCACATGGTGTGGCTCACAACCATCTGTAATGAGAACTGGTGCTCTCTTCTGGTGTGCAGGCATATATGCAGGCAGAACACTGTCTATATAACAAATAAATAAATCTTAAAAAAAACTATCCAAAAAGGAAATTGAGACAATAATGTCATTCCCATTATTAATAAATAAAAACACTTAGTAATAAACTTAGCCATTGATTTTTTTTTTTAAGGCTTGTATATTGGCTTTGATTAAGGAGGAGGAAGGGAAGAGTATGTGTGCTGCAGTCTCATCTGGATCAACATCTCATCTGATAAACTCTGTTGCTCTAAAAAAAAAAAAAATGTATAAAGCATACTTACTATCCTAATCTACAGAGCAGAACTCACCAAACAAATCAGGGCCTTTGTTATCGTCAGAGTCTGTTACTACTCATTTCAGGTTTTAACTTAGTTTCAAAAGAAAGACAAGTACATAGGTGGTAACTAACAAGAGTATATTCAAGTGTTTTACAAGGTCAAGCCCTGAACACCAAACACCGAGAACCGTCCCTTGTAGCAGCTGTTCCTAAGTATGATGCTATCTATTCAAACAAATATGGAAGTTCATACTTTTGCAGTTTTTGAACCCTAATAAAAGGCCTTAAGAGTGTACTAACATCTGTATAAAAAGCTTTGTAAAATAAAACTAGAGGGCTGGGAAGATGGCTCAGATGGTGAAGGCACTTGTCATCAAGCCTGACAACTGATCTCAACCCTCAGATTCACATAGTAGAAGAAGGAACCTGATTGTCAGCATGTTGTCCTCTGACCTTCATACAAGAATGTGGCTTGCCACTGGGTTGAGCTCCTGGAGTCTTGAAGAAAGGGAGGTGGGATTGTATGAGCCAGGGGTGGTCATGATGTTGGGGGGGAGTGGCACAGAGACAGCTGACCTGGGCTCATAAAAGCTCACAACCTCTGGACTGACTGCTAGGGAGCCTCTACAGGACTGCCCTTGTCCTTTGCATGTGTGTGACAGTTGTGTAGCTTGGTCTCTTTGTAAGGCTTCTAGCATGAGATCAAGACCTGTCCCTGGAGTTCAGCTGGCTTTTGGGAACCTGTTTCCCATGCTTTATTACCTTCCCCAGCTCTGACAAAGGGGGAGGAGCTCAGTCCTGCCTCAATTTAATGTGCGATGCTTTGTTCAAGCCCATGGGAGGTCTGCCCCTTTCTGCATGGAGAAGGAGGAGGAGTGGAAAAGGAGGGGGGTAGATGGGAAGTGGTGGTGTTGGGGTGGCTGGAGACTTGGAAGGGGGAGGGGAAACTGTAAAATAAATGAAAGAATGTTATTTAAATTAAGAGAGGATGGGCTTGCACACCTGAGTAATAAATAGACAAATGAATGTGTTGCTAAAAAAGAAACTAAAACTAGGACAGCTGAGAGCAGAATTTCAGAGCTTACAAACTAAAACCTCAGTAATTACTCAGAAGGGCACAAAGCTATTACATAAAACAGGCATAGGGCTTATAATGTCCAGAAATCATAAATATACTATGCACAAGACAGTCAAGTGAATATTTTATATTTACTGATGTTTAGTATTTTACAATGATCTTAAGTTATATGCATTTCAACTTTCAGTTTAAAAACCTATGAATTTATTAGTTTCTAAGAGGCAGAATTTGAATTTGTATACCTGACATAACCCCGACTCTAGGCTACACATTACTGCTTATATTTTCTATTCCTTGACTTGCTGTGGAATGTGAGGTATTCTGGGCAAACCACCATATTCTCATTAGTGATGGCCAGCAGGTCAGTTCTTACGGATTGTCTTAAGTAATAAGGGGGAGTGGCTTGCTGGCTTTATCATCACATTTCTTGAAGACATAGGGAAATACGGAAGGTGGAGGGCATGGGTGTTATACTGATTGATCTAGCTGGCTTTCGGCTTGATTAGCTGTCTTTGAGGATATGAACAAGAGTGGATAAGCATCTCTCCTAAATGATTCCAGATTCACCACATCTAAGCATGACCAAAAGTTTTTAAGTACAGAAGCGAGGCCACAGGAAAAGATGTCTGAATGGCACAGGTATGTCTAGATGGAGGGGAGCCTCAAGGCAAGAAGTAATACCAGAAATGAATGAGAATGAGAAAGCTCAGGAGTTCTGAAGACACAGGGTCATGGGGGCTGGGCAGTCCCAAGGATTGAAGTATGGATAAGCAGGCTGGGAAAAGCAGCACTGAGAGAATGTGTAAATCAGTGACCCATGGTTCGTGACATTGAAGAAGGACACCATGCCTTCTTCACAGTCAAGGAAAACCCCAACCCGATGGAGAGGGACAGCCACAAAGGGGGTCAGAACAGTAGGATCACAGTTGGAAGAATCCTCAAAAATACTATACTTTGATCCACCCTGCAACCCTATAACCCAGTAGCCATTCTGAGGTTTGTATCTGTGGTGAACATTTGGCTGATTTTTGCCTCGTCTAACATCAAACTTTAAAGTACGTCTTCTAGCGTAAACTCCCAGGATCCAGGCACTCTTCTTAGACACATCCACTTCCCAGTAATGTTTTCCTGAGGAGAAACATTTGGAGCCCAAGATACTATTATTATAACACTTAAATGGCCAAATGGGCACAGATGCCACTTGTCTGTGGTCTTCTGAAAGAATCAGATTCAAATTGAGGTTTTCTGGGTTAAATGTGAAGTCCACTGTAAGGGAAAAAAAGGAAAAGAAAAAGATCAGGTGACAGATACAATGGTAGCCTGTTTGATGACACTGTGAAAAGCAAACACTGGAAGGGTTAGGAGAAAATAATATTGATTGATTGCGGGAGATGGTAAAACAATACAAACATGTTATATGGTTGTTGTTTTAGAACGGGGTATTGCTAAGTAGCCCAGGTTAGCCTTCAACATGCAATTCTCTTGCCTCATCACCCTTGTGCTCATATTTATAGGCATGTACCACCATATAAGCCTTAGAGGAACATATTATGTGTATGTGGTAACACAGGAGACGAAGGTGATGAGCCCTCACTGAACCAACATTTTGGAAAGATGATCACAACACAGCGATTTGAAGATCTGCAATTTCTTACCCCAGTAGCCCCGGACGGCTGTTAGCTCTGAAACGATAAAAGATTTGGTGACTTTTATGAGAAGCAAAAGTTTGTTAAGTGTTCTCTCTAGAGATAGGAAAGGCTGATATAGTGAAGCTACAAACTGGTAAATGAGAGGACAAACCAGATCCTTTACAGTTAGTTCTCCCTCAGACACAACTGCATCTTCCCCCTCACAGAATGCCCCTCCCTGACCCGGACCCCAACCCCGTGCTCTCATCACCTTTCCCTTTAAACTTACTCCATGACAACATAGGAGCCCTATATGAACACTCTCCGATTCACTCCTCGCTCACCTCTAAACTTTTGGAGCATGTCGCTCAGATCAGGAGCTTGGAATACCACCTTCAGTTTCTTAGAAACCACTTTTGGCTTCTTCAATGTCCAGATCTGACTCCTAGGGATGAAGAAATATTTTGATGTTTACATCTGTCAGATTGCTGTCTCTCTAACATACTGCCTTTATCCCCTCATTGGTGTACTTGGTACGTGAGGAGCCTCAGGGAAAGCCCTGACTGAATAGAAGCCATAGGTCTCTGTGAAATGTCCCCACTTAACCTGCTGTATGATACTGAGAGGATCTACACCTCCTGAAATCACAGTTGCCTCTCCCAAATACGGGCTAACTTTCACTCCCTTGAAATCTCATGGAAATCATACAAATTTGGGTGAAGAGCAAAGGGAAGACTTGGCTGCCTCACTGAAGACAGGGTGCAGACACATGAGTTCTCAAGGAAATTAAGAGCAAAACTGTAGGTCCTGACTGTTATGTAGGGCACTGCACAGATAGCCGGTGAGTTTGTGAGCAATCCAAACCCTGGATTCTACTGGCACATTAAGGAGAACAGTTAGAGGGAGAACAAAGCCTGAACTCCAGTGGTGACCTACATCAGAAATAATAGATTGTAGTGGGGAAAATTTACCAAACAAAATGTTATGACTTAAAATGAGCATAACCAGCCAGATATAGTGGCTCCTGCCTGCAATCCCAGCACACAGAAGGCAGAGGCAGGAGGCTCAGCAGCTCAAGGCCAACCTCATTTACTCAGCAAGTTCAAGACCATGCAGCTTTAGCTGCATGGAACTCTGTCTCAAAAAACCAAAAACAAACCCCCAAATGAGCCTAGTTCTAACTTCATGTGTGTTTAAAGGAAGTTGATGCTAGCAGATTGGCAATTATGGATTCAAGGATCAATACTTTAACATCAGAGTTTGTAAAGCTTGCCAAACAAGAGATTAGTTATTGAAAACTTGGAGAAGAATCACAAACCCCAAGGTGTGTGCCTCTTTTTAAAAGTCAGTAGAAATCTTCTATTCTCAGTGAACAAAATAAGTGTGAAGACTAATCCCCATGGCCTGTCTTAGGTGTGAAGAGCAGTACCCATGGCCTGATTTATGTGTGAAGAGCAGGTGGCCTGTCTTAGGTCTTGGTCAGGCTTCCTGGGTACAAAACAACTATGAAATAGGAGATCCAGGACTGGTAGCAGGAAGGGAATGTGAAACAGTGACATTAAGTCACAGGAAAATGACTACTCTGAAATCTCTAATGCGCTTTGTGGCCTAATCTGACTTAAACTGCCACATTCACTACCATTGAGTCTAGTTCATTCTCTGTGGGGACAGGACCAGTCAAGTCTTTACCTAGGACCAGCAGTTCTAAGTAATGTGGCATCCATATGTCCTTGATCTTGGAGAGATTTTTCCCACTGGTATAAAAATGTTTGTAATGGCTCCTGTTTTAGTTAGGGTTTCTAATGTTGTGCTAAACAGCGTGACCAAAAACAACTTGAGGAGGAAAGGATTTATTTTAGCTTACATGTCTGGATCACAGTCCATCATGAAGGGAAGTCAGGGCAGGAACTCAAGGCAGGGACCTGGAGGCAGGAACTGAAGCAGAGACCATGGAGGGGTGCTGCCTGATCCTCACGGCTATTCAGCCTGCTTTCTTATACAATCCAGGACCATATGATACAACCCACATCAACCATGAATCAAGAAAATGTCTCATAGGCTTGCCTACAGGGCCACTCTAATGGGTTCATTTGCTCAGTGGAGGCTCCCTTTTCTCAGCTGACTCTAGCTTGTGTGAAACCGACAAAAAAACTAATAGGGACAACTACTAATCAGTCTTTTTTACACAAAAAGCACTACTTGGAGTCACCCATACGCACCATTTCAAGATACCGCTCATATCCTAGGGAGAAGAAAATAAAAACATAAGTCACAGAGTGTGTGAATCAGAGCAGGGTTAGCGAAAAAAGCAAAGCAGAAGGAGGAGATGAAGAGTACATTATTTTATCTGTATTTTTTTCTAGATAGCTTTTCTAAATGTGGCCCAAGGCCGTGAGGAACTGATCCTCCTTCTTCAGTGCTGAGGTTACAAATAACTGCCAGCAAAACTGGCTAAAAAAAAAATATGGTTTCTTTCCATCTTCTTTTTAAAAAGTTATGTCAAAATATCAACAAAACTGGCAACCCTTAGGCTAAACATACCAGGAAAAAATAAAGAAGAGGCACAATTTTCAAATGGGGAAGAAAAGATAAGACATTGGCCAGGCGGTGTTGGCACACGTCTTTATTCTCAGCACTCCAGAAGTAGAGGCAGGCAGATATCTTTGAGTTCGAGGCCAGCCTGGTCTACAGAGAGTTCCAGGACAGGCTCAAGAAAAAAAAATAAAAAGATGAGACATTGCTACTGACCTTAAAGACACTAAAAAAAAGAAAAAAAAGAAAAAAAATGTGGTGGTGCATGCCTTCAATCTCACTTCAGAGGCAGAAGAAAGAAAAAAAAGAAAAAAAAATGTGGTGGTGCATGCCTTCAATCTCACTTCAGAGGCAGAAGAGTTGGGCTACATAGTGAGACTCTGTCACACAAAACAAACAAATTGAAAAAAACCACAGGAGCTGGGGTGTGGTTTGGAGGTAGAATTTTTACCTAGCAAGTGTGAGGCTCTGGATTGAATGCCTAAGCCCTTCCCCACTCCGGTTTGTTGTGTTATAAACAAATTAGATAAGTTAGAGAAGATGAACAAATTCCCAGAAGTACCCAAGCAACCAATACTGATTCAAGAAGAAAGAAAGAATGTATAGAATGAAAACATGTAACAAGATGAGATTTGAAGTCAAGCTTTGTGTAAGGAAAGGCCAAGCATGGTTTCACTGTTGAATTTTTACTAAAAGTTTAAAAGGATAATTAAAACCAGTATTTTTAAAATTCTTCCAAAAAATACAAAATGGCTTTATGTAATACTAAAATTGTTAAAGCGTCACAAGAAGAAATATCAAAAGCACCATGGGGCTGGAGATACAGCCTGGCAGTAGAGTCCTGGAGACAAAAATGAAAAAGGGCAGTCCAGATGGCTCAGTGGAGAGAGGTGCCTGCTGCCAAATCCAATGACTTGAGTTCAGTTCCTGGTACCCATATGGTGAAAGGAGAGGACAAACTCCCACAAGTTGTCCTTTGATCTCTTCATGTGGGCTATAGCACATATGCATGCATCCATGTGCACACACACACACACACACACACACACACACACACACACACACACACACACACACTAAAAAAATGCAATTAAAAAGTTTTAAATCCCAGCTGGGCAGTGGTGGTGCATGTCTTTAATCCCAGCACTCAGGAAGCAGAGGCAGGTGGATATCTGTGAGTTTGAGGCCAGCCCAATCTACAGAGCGATTTCCAGGACAGGCTCTAAAGTTATGAGAAACCCTGTCTCAAAACACACACACACACACACACACACACACACACACACACACGCACCCCAAAACAAAACACAACAAAAACATAAAATCCCAAAACAAAAATTAAAACTCATGGACGTGGCTATTATAATCATGATCAAATAAGATTCATCCCATAAATAGAGATTTGGTTCAACATAAATATATCAGTCAATGTGATAGACCAGATTAATAGAAAAAAGAATAAAAATCACCATCTCAATGATGGTGGGGGGAAAAAAAAAGCATTTGACAAAGTTCCACTTCTGTTGATATAAAAACAAGAAAGAGAGCAGGCAGGATTAGAAGGCAGAGGAGCATCTTCAGCCTCTCAAAGATGTATAAACCCACCAGCTAATTATCATAACTTAATGGCAGAAAACTGGTTTCCCTTAAGACTGGAAAAGAGGAAAAAAATATTCTCTTCCACAACTTCCATTCAACACTGAGTGTTCTTAGCTAGGAAGAGAGGCAATATGTCTCTGCATTCTGAGGTGAGGTGCTCATTCCTACCTGCAGCAGCTCTATGGCAGACCACTGGCACCGACGCTCCAGATCTGAGATAAGTTCTTCCACCAACTGGCTCTGTTGAGCCAGCTCAGCCTCTGCCTCTGCCAGGCTGTCCTCTATCAGCTGCTCCTCCTCCCCCAGTCTTTTCAGCTCTCTCTGTTCCTCCTCGTTCAGGGTTCTCCTAAGCTCATTAAACCCAGTTTGTATCCTTTGTCTCTCATTCTGGATCTGGCACTGCAGGAATGGACAGGGAGAGAGAGAGAGAGATGTAATGAGTCTGTCAGGCTGAGGTAAGATGTCGGTATAAGATAGTAGAACTTCAATCCAGGGCAGACATTGGAATAGAACACCAATCTGGGGATGCTAATATTCCCTTTGTTACAAACAAATCCCAAATAGGAAAACAAACAAACAACCCCCTCTTGTCTTATCTAGGCAACCTCCAAAAATAATACAAGACTGGAATAAGGCTCAGATTGTAGACAAATGTCTTGGGTGCTCGTGGCTCCCTGAATTAGCACTCCTGGTTTTGAAACCTAGAGTACAGTGGGAAATTACCAATACGGAGTCAGGTAGAAATATAAAGGTATCTAATAGGGAAAAGCCTTACTTACAGAGCAACCTAGCCAGCCGGCGTGGTAGCGGTCAGTACCGCAAGCAGCAAGGTGAAACCGAAAGCGCAAACGCAGTCACACTACGCAAACGCAGTCACACTACGTCACTCTGACCACGCCCTCACAAGCGTGGTCAGGCACACCTGTAGCCAGCCCCTAAGTAGGCGTGGCTACAGCTTCCCTTACACTAAAGAAAACCTTTTTTTTGCCTGGTGTCTTCCAGCACTGCCTTCTCCTGCTCCTCCCTCAGCCTCTTGAGAGCTTTCTGGAGAGTCTCCTGTGAGAAAGGAATCATATTTGTCATGCTTTCCACCTGGGCAGAGAGCTAACAAAAAAAACAGGTTGCTCCTGAAAAGATCGGTGTATAGAAATTGTGAGGTTGATGCTTAGTGTTTATGACACAGCAGAACATCTGCAGAGAATGCATTCTTTATCCCTAGAGGAGCAGAGCCATCACCTGCACACCAGCCAGAGCAGCCTGCATCTTTTTCCTTAGAGTAAGTACAGAGCATGTAGCAGGTGTAATCCTTTCCTCAGACTGATGCTCTTCCCACAACCAGTTCACAGTATTCCCCAGCGGTGGCCCTGCAGAGGGGAGTGCTGGAAGCATTCTTCACCACATGTAACACAATGGAAAGGGAACCCCAAAACCTTCTGCTCTTGGTCAAGAGATTGTGTGTACTGCAGGACAACCCATTATATAAACGGAAAGAAAAGATATTTCTAGGCGTTAGGAACTGAACATAAGGTAAGAGCTCAATACTGTGGTGGTAATGTGAATCAAGGATGAGAAGGGATGATTTCTTACCAAGGACCATTTTCTTCCCTATCTTGCTCCCTGGTGGCCTCACCTGATATTCCTTGACTGCTTCCTCCCGGAGGAAGGTGTTGTGATCAAGATGCTCCCGAGAATGCATACAAAGTCGGCAAATGACCTTCCTATCTTCCTTACAGAAGAGAAGAAGTTTCTCTCCGTGATGTATACAGAGATCTCTTTTTGTCCCAGTGTCAGGGTTCAACTTGACTTCCCTAAGTCTTGCTACTATATCTGCCAGATGCCGATTAACCTGTAGATTTTTAAATAAGAATCTAGTACCACACACAGGACAGCTGCTTTTCCCTTTGCTGTTGACCACTGCATTCTTCTTGTTCATGGTGATGCAGGCTTGGCATACATTGTGGCCACAGCCTAAACTCAGGGGTTCTTTCAAAAGCTCTTGGCAGATAGGGCAAATGGTCTCCTCTTTTACATTCATCGGAACTGCTGAAGCCATTATACTGTACTGCTGCCCTATTTTTTCTTGTCCTGACTTCTGAGGCTCTTCTTTCTTAAGGACTGCTGGATGGCTAGGAAGATTAGAAAATGAAGGCAACTTAAAACAGCACTGCCGCTTAGTATCCTTCCAGGTGGGTGATGTGATGGCAGAAAGCTCTTACTTTTCAGCTGTGAGTAGATAGAACCTGAAACACAGACCAATTATACTTTGGTGAATAGAGCAGAAATTCTCCAGATGAAGAATGTGGTGGCGGCACCGAAAAGAGTACAGACTAAGGCAAAATGAAGGAAGAATGAGAAACTCCAAAAGCAAAATTAACACAGGCCTTATCACTATGCAGAAGTGCAGTCAACCTGCAGAAGACCTAGGAACTGCGTAGCACACTGGCAATGGGCAAGGTCTCTCTTTTCTTCCTAGAATTTGACCACAAAGCACAGTGTTGGTGTCACCATGATTGGGACCTGGCAAGTTTGGGAGTATGTTTTCCTGCCTCCATTATTAAAAAACAAAAACCAGCTGGACAGTGGTGGTGAATGCCTTTAATCTTAGCACTCAAAAAGAGGCAGAGGCAGGCAGATCTCTGTGAGTTCAGGGCCAACCTGGTTTACAGAGCAAGTTCCAAGACAGCCAAGGCTACACAGAGAAAACCTGTCTCAAAAAACAAAACAAAACAAAACAAAACAAAATTGGCACAGGATTATCCAAGCTGCTATTCTCAAGTAGGTAAAGGGCTTGGGATATCAGGAAGGTCTCTGACAGCCCCTTAATGGGAGTAGGAAGGAAGTAAAGGCTCTTTTTAGCATCTACTAATTTCATTTCATTAAATTTTAAAAATAATATATTTGAAATCAAGATCTTACTAAGAGCAGGAACAAACCAATGCCAAAACTAGCAGAAATAAATAAGAGCTGAAATTAATGAGATGGAAACTAAAAGAATAAAAAGGGTCAATTAAATAGAGTTCTTTGAAAGGGTAAACAAGCTGAAAATATCTTAGCCAAAGGAGCCAGAAAAAAGAGAGAGTGGATGCATATGATCTGTACACATTATAGAAATGCACACATTTAAAAGAACAAAAGATATTATCTTTAAAAGTTAATAAAAGCTAATGAACATTAAAAGATGATGTTCAATCACCTATTGATTGGTAAGTAATAAACAGAAAAGTTTAAAAATCACTAAGGTCTGGAGAGATGGTTCTATAAGTTAAGATCATTTGTTACTACTCTTCCAGAGGGTGCAAGTTCAATTCCCAGCACCCATATAGTGACTCATGACTATCCATAACTCATGTACCATGGGATTTGAAACCATTTTCTGACCTCTGAAAGCACGAGCATCACACACACACACACACACACACACACACATATGATCATTTCATTTCCCTCTCTTTTAAATACATGCCTATAGTTGGATTTTTTTATTTTGTTTGTTTTTGTTTTTTCAAGACAGGGTTTCTCTGTATAGCCTTAGCTGTCCTAGCTTTGTAGATCAGACTGGCCTGGAACTCAGAGATCTGCCTGCTTCTGCCTCCTGAGTACTGGGACTAAAAGCGTATGCCACCACCACCCAGTTTAATTTGTATTTTTGAGACAAGGTCTCAAGTAGCCTGGGCCAGACCTCAAACTGGATAACCAAACATGACCTGGAACTTAACTTCTGAGCCTCCTGCCTAAACCTCCCAAGTGCTGGGACTATAAGCATCCACCATGGCCCACACTTTCACTTGAATATGTACTTGTTCTCTGTATTAAAACTTCCTGCAACTCCTCACAGTGCCTCTCTGGATTCTTTCTCTGACTCAGCAAGAATCCAGAGACACCAGGTAGAGGCCTCTTGCAGGCTCAGTCTACCTTAGAGAGCTCCCCAGCCTTCCTCATCAGGCACACTCTCATTGGAACATCCCCCATGCCCACCTCCTATTCCTTGCTCTGCAACTCCTCGGAATGCAACATCCTCCTCTCAATTCTAAGGAAAACCAACCTGTATTAAAGCCTTCAAATTCCTCACATGCTTAAGATTCTACTTAAGTTTCCTTGCTCTGAAAACTGAAGTTGAAAACCTTTAACCTTCTAAAACTGTGATTCTGAGTCACAGGCAGGCAGATCTCTGTGAGTTTGAGGCCAGCCTGGTATACAAAGTGAGTTCCAAGACAGTCAGAGCTGTTACACAGAGAAAACCTGTTTCTCAAAACCAAACCAAGAAACAAAATAAACAAGCAAACAAAAAACAAAAAACCAACCAAACAAAAAACCCATCATCCCATAGAATTAGTATAGTTACTTAATTTTTTATTGTTATTCCCAGGTAGAGCGTAAGTTAGAAAGTATTGAATGGATGTTTATCACACTTTTTTAATGCCAGAAATGTGCTTTAATTCCATTGACATTTTCATAAAAAATAAATACATAAATCTGCATTATCTTCTGTTTGGCCATGACTAAACTCTGTCAGGACAACAAGTATCTCCAGCAGTCAGGTGCAGACTCAGAAGAAGGCAGGTGAAGTGAACTCTGAAAAGTGAGGGTCTTAGACAGTGGCAGGTGTTGAACCTATCCATCGAGGTACAAAATGTCCCTATGTTAGCCTAACATGGGGAATACTCAGGGTCAACACACAGAGCAAGCATCTTAGCAAGCATGTCAACACCAAGGACTCCTCAGCAATAGCTAACTCTGGTTAACTAGCACTGTGCAAGGAGACAAGGAACTGACATAGCCTTCAGTACAAAGACCCAAGAAGGAAGAGTGAGTAACAAGCCCTAAGGCAGATGAGGGGACTCTATGGTCACTTAAACAGAAGCAAGGAAGATGGGTGTTAGGGGAGGCATAGGCTTGCAGTCCCAGCTACTTATGAGGATAATGCAGGATGATATTTGAGCTCAGAAAGCTAAAGCCAGTCTCAGCAACGCAGTGAGTCTCAAAAAATGAATAAATGAACCAGGAAGTGGTGGCACATGCCTTTAATCCCAGCACTTGAAAGGCAGAGGCAGGTGAAGCTCTGTGAGTTGAAGACCAGCCTGGTGTACAGAGCGAGTTCCAGGACAGGCTCCAAAACTACAGAGAAACCCTGTCTAAAAAAACAAAAACAAACAAACAAAAAAAAAGTGACACAGAGTTATCCAACCTGCTGCTCTCAAGTAGGTCAAGGGCTCTCGGGATGTCAGGAAAGTCACTGACAGCCCATTCGTGAGAGTAGGAGGGGAGTAGAAGCTCTTCTTAGCCCCAGTCCCTGAAACTACAGTATCCATTAGGTAAAGGGGAGAGAGAAGAGAGGGAGGAGGGGAGGAAGAGGGAGGAAGGGAGAAAGAAGTGGGAGGGGAGAGGGTGCAGAGCTCATGAGATTCCAGACCTGTTTGCAAGGTAGAACATCACAGTTGCAGAGCAGGAGGAAATGGGAAACGGGCTTACCCGGAGAAATAAGGGTTCCTCCAGAAAACAAGGTTTTCCTGTTCAACTTTCAAGTCGATTTCTCCCCTAACTCCTTTTCTCCCTTCAGATCACAATGGTTTCTGCGCGCTAAATGACCTCCCCCAAACTTGACTGAGTTCTCACCTCCCAGGGTCTCCCTCCCTCAGCCCTGCACAAACTTTCGCACACAACTTTGGACCCTCACCTCTGGGCCCCCGAAGGTGAAATCTTTCCTCTAGGCTGAAGCTGTGAGGAAAAGCCAAGGGCAGGCTTTGCTCAGCACCGGTGTTCAGCCTATCAGCAGCAGCCCCTCCCTCTCCCGATACCGGAGAAACGAAACTGAAATTCCAGACCAGCGGGAGCAGGAAAGAGGAAGAAACTTCTTGGCCCGAGGGCTGGCAAAACTTTAGGCCTCCGATAGAGGGCGATGCAGCAACCTTGGTGATCCAGGGGGAAACAGAGGTCTTGACCTAGAGTTGGAATTTTAAGTGGCCAAGAGTTTTTTGGTGATTGTGGCCAACCAAGGGCTGTCGCTGACATCAGGTAGGCAGAGGCCATGTTAAGGGAAGATTCCATTCAGTTAAGAAGGCAGTCACGAACTCGGGAGAGGTGAAGAAATCTTTATTAATGTGTAAGCCAAAAATCAAACAAATGGTCCAGCGAGCTTACACTCTCTGAGGGTGGTCTTTGAGTTCCTTAGTCATCAAAGGAAGTTGTTAGGCACGCTTACAAGAACAGACGTTGCAGGAAGACAGTTTGTAGACGTAAAAATACACAGTTGTTTCTGAATAACAATAGCCCTTTGGCTGTGAAAATAGGATCTACAGCATGCCCTGTGTCCACTGTAACAATCTGGTGTCCCACACCTCCAAGGCATAGTGGCCTTTTGGTTTTGTTCTTTTCCAGACAGGGTTTCTCTGTGTAACAGCACTAGCTGTTCTGTTGTCTTTGCTCTGAAGACCAGGCTGGCCTCTGCTCCTGAATGCTGTTTTTAAAGGCATGTATCACCAACACCTAGCTGCATAGTGTTTTTTTACAAGCAGGCCTCCTGGTAAAACCAGCTGACTTACTTCTAGGGTTTCCCTTGCTACCATAGCACTATATAAATTATCTTCTCTCCACTCCCTGTAACCCAAGCTGCAGAAGCTGTTAAATGCAAAGACAGTTCTCTATACAAAAAATTATCAAGTTAACCCACTCAACAAGAGGGAAATAATGCCTGGTACTGGAAACTTAGCCAATTACTCAGTGCTAAAGAAGTCACAGATCGCTGGGCATTGGTGGCGCACAACCTTAAACCCAGCACTTGGGAGGCAGAAACAGGTGGATCTCTGTGAGTTTGAGGCCAGTCTGGTCTACAAAGAGAATTCCAGGACAGTCTTCAAAGCTACAGAGAAACCCTGTCTTGAAAAAACAAAACAAACAAAAAGTCACAGATATTGGAGGAGAACCTACAACCACTACTTTACTAAACCAGCACAATCCCTAACAACCATCTCAACATTTAACCTTCTATGCACAGATAAAAAAGTCCTCACTGTATTCAAGGAAAGCAATGAAGAAATCACAATGGTTGCTCCATGATTACAGGGAGGTTTTTATTATAGGTAAGAAATAACATTCAGAGGCAGTTGGAAAGAATCCAGAGCAGAAACAGACTGGACATGTCCAGGTCTATCTTGGAGAGAATGGAGCCGAAGGAGAACAGTGGGAGAGAATAGTGGCTATGGCAAGATAATGGTAGTGGTGGGTAACTAGCTATATAGAGAACAAAGAGGTATCTAGGCAGGGGTAAGCCTGAGGAAGCAAGAATGCTAGCACAAGGCCTTTGAAATGTATAAAGGGTACTTGAGAATAGGGGCTGTAAGCTGGGCAGTGGTGGCGCACACCTTTGATCCCAGCACCCAGGAGGCCAAGGCAGGCGGATCTCTGTGAGTTCGAGACCAGCCTGGTCTACAAGACAGCCTCCACAGAGAAACCCTGTCTTGAAAAACAAAAACAAGAGAGAGAGAGAGAGAGAGAGAGAGAGAGAGAGAGACAGAGAGACAGAGAGAGGCAGAGAGAATAGGGACTGTAGGAGCCTGGAGGCCAGCATGGGCTTTGATATGCAGCCACATGTATATGTCTGTATTCAGCTTGAGTTGAGCTAGGACTGTCATTTCTGGATGTATGAACTGAGACCTAACACTCATTCCTCATAAAGGAAACTTCTTGTAATAGATGGAGATCATTACAGGAAACAACAACCAATCAAAATGCAGAGTTGTGGAGTACAGTCCTAACTGATACATCTATAAAACATTCCTGTACCCAAGGCTCAGAGAACATAGGTGAAGAGGGGAAGGAAAAATTATAAGAGCCAGAGGATCACGAGTTAGCTGTGAGACTCCCAGTACTGTAAGCAGCTACATCCATCAGTCTCACCATAACTGCCTAAACATGAGCTGTACAAGGAAGACACCAAAAATCAAAAGGGGGAAAGGTTATGTGTCAGGAGGAGTTAGTTCACAGGGAGATTGGAAAATTGCAAGGAAGAAGCAGCTTCATTTGGCTCAGCTCTGGTAGAGCTTTGGACACAGGATTTATAGTCCTAATGTGGATACAAAGGAGCTAAGGGTTTATTCAGGAGCCACTGATGAATGACCTTGGCCCAGAAACACCAGTTTTGGTTACCCCAAATTCTATATTTCAATGTGCAAGCAGTTTGGATAAAGGTTTTATAGTAACAAAATAATAAACCAATACATTTCCAAATACATTGGTGCAAACAGGTGGGAGGATTAATCAAAGAGGGGAAATCTCTGCTACAGATGCTATCTGATGACCCTCTTAAGCCTTTTTGCTTGGTTAGAAAACCAGTACTTCTGTTTGCATCTTTCAAATTATTTATGTAACGAGCACTAAAACTGGTGCATGGCTACAAACAGGGCTAAAGACACTCCCAAATAACTTGATTGTGAATTTTGTAGCACTCCAATGTTGCAGAGCTCCTCCTGGGGAAAAATGAGACACACGTTTTTTCTTCTAGGAAACAGTTTATTATCTCTGCACACAGGCTCAAAAACATATTAGTATGCAAAGTTCAAGCTCCGAGTGCAATGGGGCTACCTTTTTGACTTCTGTTCCAGGACAGCCTCCAAAGCCACAGAGAAACACTGTAGGAGGCCGACACCACCACCATGGGTTTGAGGTTAGTCTGGGTTACATGGTTAATTTTGGGCTAACCTGGGCCACAGAATGAGACTTCATCTTGAAATAAAACAAACATTTGAAGTACATAGTAAGTTTTATTTAAAACAATATATCCAAAATATCATCGTTACACAGTTGTTAGTGAGATTATTTTACATTGCTTTTATGGAAATGCAGGGTGTAGTTTACACTTACAGTATATCTGAGAGCGCTCAAAAACCACTAGTGGCCCTTGGTTGCAGCATCAGCTGTCTCCCCGACATCAAGTTTTACCCTTACATCTATAACTTTTTTCACAGTTGAATATGAAAGCTTGTAGCACCTCTCCATCAACGTCATAGCAGCTCACCCATCTAGCACTTCAATTTGAGCTTAAGTAGATGCTCTGGGGTGAGATGAAGAGGCAGTATAAGCCTGTAAACCTAGTTACTCGGGATGCCAGGCAAGCTTAAAGTCAGCCTGGACTTGACTGCAAGTTCAAGGCCAGCTTGGGCAACTTGGTAAGACCCTGTGTCAAAAGAATAACAAAAAAACAAACAAAAGGTTTGTCAAGTGTGGTACTCGAATGCCACCCTGACATAAAAAGCCCTGAGTTCAATCCTGAGCCCCACAACGGAAAGGAGGTGTTGCAGAAAATTCCTTTATACTGTGTGAAGATATGTCATTGTGATTGACTTAATAAAGACTAAAGAGTTGAACAGCAAATAGCTAGGCAGGAAGAGTTTAGGTGGGACTTGTGTGGACAGAGAGGACTTGGAGAGGGGGAAAGGCAGAGTTGCCGCAGGATGGAGAGGAAGCAGGATGGGCAGTACAGAGTAAAAGTAACTGAGTCACGTAAAAGAGTGTATTAAATTATAAGAGCTAGCTAGGAACCAGCCTAAGCTAAGGCCGAGCTTTCATAATTAATAAATCTCTGCGTCATTTTTTTTTGAACTGATGGCCCAAAGAAAAATCTGTTCACCGAGAGGCTAAAGAAGGGCCAGAATACATTATCACTGTGAAGTGGCTACTATATTTCTTTCTCTTCTGACATAATTGGTATTGGTTGATCATTGTCCTCACCCTTATTTACTTTTCTCTCTTTTAAGCACATTTTCTGATTTTCATCACTACTCTTAAAATCTTAAGATGAGCTGGGTGGTGGTGGCCCACACCTTTGATCCCAGCACTAGGGAGACAGAGGCAGGCGGATCTCTGTGAGTTCGAGACCAGCCTGGTCTACAAGAGCTAGTTCTAGGACAGCCTCCAAAGCCACAGAGAAACCCTGTCTCAAAAAAGATGAAGGTTGAGGGTTGTGAAAGCATTTATTTATTGTGAAAACCAAAGCTACAATCTCTTCTTGAAACCATCAAAACTAAAGTGGTGAGTGAATTTTTACTATTTTTTAAATCAATGGTCAGTTCAATTTTCACCTTGTCCATTTTACATTTTGTATAACCTGACAGACACTACAAGAATGGAAAATTAGAGGCAATTTTGTTTGTAAAGATAGGCAAAAAGCAAACCTAAGCTATAAGTCAGCAAAAATAAAAGTACTGAATGTTTCACATAATAACGGTTTACTTAGGAATCAGTGGTGGACTCAACAATTAAGACAACTCAAACTCAATGTAGCCGGCCCAGGAGCAGAATAAAAGGGACATACAATATCTCAATGATTATAGAAAAAAACTCTATTGAACTCAATATTTAGTATAAAAACTCCTATCTAATTTATAGAGAATTTCTTACATTTGACCACAGACATCAGTTTTTTTTTAAAAAAAGTCATCAAATACTATGCTTAGCCAGATGTTGTGAGATAGACCTATAATCAGTGTTTGGGAGCTGAGGCAGAAGCACTAAGTGTCTGTGGCCAGCCTGGGCTATTTATGGATATATGTTGAACACCACTAAAACACAGTCATAGCAGAAGCAGGATGATTAGTTCAGGGCCACTCTCAATTACATAGAGTTCCAGGGCAGCCTGAGCTACAGCCTGTTTCAAAACAAAATCCCAACAAATCAACAGACAATGTTTGCTGGGCCTTGGTGGTGCATGCCTTTAATTCCATCACTCAGGAGGCAGAAACAGGCAGATCTCTGAGTTGGAGGCCAGTTTGCTCTACAGAGTGAATTACAAAACAGCCAGGGCTATACAGAGAAACCCTGTCTTGAAAAACCAAAACAAAACAAAAAAGGACCATGCTTAACAGAGAAATGTGAAAAAATTTCCCATAAGATCTGTCAAGAGTCCTCACTAGCAGAAGTGGGAGGTTATCCTTCGAGAACACAGAAAACGGAGGCTCAGAGAGGAAACTTGTATTTGAAGGAATCTACTCATTTGCTGTGGCAGGGGTGCTAGACCTCTCAAGGGCTTGGTCGACGCAGAGTCATTGGGACTACACAGCTGCAGGGATTAAAATATGGACAGAGAGCGGTAGGAAAGTAATATTTAGAGAAGGTGTAGATGGGCAAGCCATGGTTTGTGACGTTATAAAAAGATACAGTGCCAGCCTCGTAGTCTAAGAAAACCCCTATGCGGCGAGGTGGCACTGTCATAGAGAGGAGCAAGGAGGTGGAGGAGTCCTCATAGGCTCTGTATTCATGCTTATGCTGCAGCCCAATCACCCAGTATCCGCTCTGGGGCTGATACCTGGAGTAGGCACTCTGCTTGCCCGGATACTGGCTGAAAGAGAACATGGGTTCCACCTGGTTACTGCACACACCCAGGATCCACGCCGTCTTCTTGGTCACATCCACCTCCCAGTAGTATTTTCCTGAGGAGAAGTGCTGAGAGCCCAGGACACTACAGTCATAATGTTCCTCCAGACAGGAAGGCTTGGACAGCTTGGCACCCACAAACCTCACCTGTCTCCGGTTTTTAGATAGGACAAGATTTAAATTAGCCGTCTGTGGATTCAGAGTCACGTCCACTGTAGGAAAAGGTACAACAGCAGCAGATGAGAATGGGCACAGAGGTCCCATGGCTCTGAGAGGAGAGGGCAAAGGAAATGGTGGTAGTGGTGGTGGTGGTGGTGTGTGTGTGTGTGTGTGTGTGTGT